AAATAGCGGTGCCTGCCCTGCCGGCCACTGCCACCACCGGCCACTGTCACCACCGCCACCTCCGGCCACCACTGGTGCCACCGCCACCGCCCAGGTGAGGCTGCCCCGGCCACGGCACGGGTTGGGCCCGGGGTGGGGGGTCCTGCTTGCCCCAAATCAGACCCCAAATGGGGCCCGGGGGGGTGGGGGGAGTGTCCCTGCTGGATCCAAACCCCAGCAGCACCCCGGGGTGCTGAGCCCCTCTGGATTCCCCAGCCCCAAAGGGTACCCAGAGTGCTCATCCCCTCGGGATGTGCATCCCAAACCCACCCCAACACCACCCATAGGTGCTCACCCCCCCCTGCATCTCCATCCCAAACCCACCCATGGGTGCTCACCCCCTTGGGATCTGCATCCCAAACCCACCCATGGGTGCTCACCCTCTCTACATCTTCATCCCAAACCCACCCAAAAGTGATGCTGGGTTATCCCCTCTGGATCTGCATCCCAAACCCACCCCAGCCCACCCAGGGGTGCTCATTCCCTCGGGATCTGCATCCTAAACCCACCCATCGGCGCTCATCTCCTCCATCATCTGCATCCCAAACCCACCCCAGCACCACCCCTAGGTGTTCATCCCCTCGGAATCTCCATCCTAAACCCACCCACGGGTGCTCACCCCCTCTGGATCTGCATCCCAAGCTCACCCTTGGGTGCTCATCCCCTCTGCATCTCCATCTCAAACCCACCCATGGGTGCTCACTCCCTCTGAATCTCCATCCCAAACCCACCCATGGGTGCTCATCCCCTCTGCATCTCCATCCTAAAGCCACCCCAAAGTGATGCTGGGTCATCCCCTCCAACATCTGCATCCCAAACCCATCCCAGCCCACCCAGAGTGCTCATTCCCTCTGGATCTGCATCCCAAACCCACCCAGGGGTGCTCATCCCCTCTGCATCTGCATCCCAAGCCCACCCCAAAGTGATGCTGGGTCATCTCCTCCATCATCTGCATCCCAAACTCACACCAGCACCACCCATGGGTGTTCATCCCCTCTGGATCTCCATCCTAAACCCACCCACGGGTGCTCACCCCCTCTGCATCTTCATCCCAAACCCACCCACGGTCCTCAACCCCTCTGCATCCCAAACCCACCCCAGCACCACCCATGGGTGCACCCCCTCTGCATCTCCATCCCCCTCACCCAACCCCTGTGCTCCTACCGAACCCAAACCACCCCAGGCAGCACCCTCGGGTGCTCAGCCCTCCCCCAGCCCCCGGGGGTGTCCCTGGAGCGGATCCCGGTGTGACAGTGCCCCCCGTGTCCCCGCAGCCCCGGGGGTGTCCCCGGAGCGGATCCCGGTGTGACAGTGCCCCCCGTGTCCCCGCAGCCCCGGGGGTGTCCCTGGAGCGGATCCCGGTGTGACAGTGCCCCCCGTGTCCCCGCAGCCCCGGGGGTGTCCCTGGAGCGGATCCCGGTGTGACAGTGCCCCCCGTGTCCCCGCAGCCCCCGGCCATGGCACCCCGCGGGTCGCTGCTGCTGCTGGCGCTGCTGCTGCTGAGCTGCGCCCTGCCCCGCGCCCGCGGCCAGCACTGGTCCCACGGGTGGTACCCGGGGGGCAAACGGGACCTGCGCACCCCCAGCGACCTCCAGGTAGGGTGTCCCCCGCGGGTCACCCCCTCCGGGTCACCCCCGTCCCTGCCGGGTGATGCCCACCCCGCCCGTGTCCCCCTGCCCAGGGTTTGTGTGCCCCCCATCCTGTCCTGGGGTGAAAATCCCTCTGGGTTATCCCTGCCCGAGTTACGCTGCCCCAAATTATCCTCCCTGGGTTGTATCCCCTCGGAATCCTGTCCCCGTCCCGCGATTATCCCCCCGCTGAGTTCTTGGATTTATCTCTGCCCCAGGTTAAACCCCACTGCGGGTTTATCACCCCCCATGGGCTAAAATCCCCCCCAGTTTATCCCCCTTCCTGAATTATCCGGGTTTATCACCCATGTTTATTCCCCTCCCCGAATTATCCTGATTTATCACCCCCACGGGCTAAAATCCCTCCAGGTTATCCCTCTCCCTAAATTATCCGGGTTTATCACCCCCACGGGCTAAAATCCCTCCAGGTTATCCCTCTCCCTAAATTATCCGGATTTATCAACCCCACGGGCTAAAATCCCTCAGTTTATCCCCTTCCCTGAGTTATCTGGATTTATCACCTCCCCAGGTTATCCCCCTCTCTGAATTATCCGAGTTTATCACCCCAGTTTATCCCCCTCCCTGAATTATTCAGGTTTATCACCCCCACGGGCTAAAATCACCCCAGGTTATCTCCCTCCCTGAATTTTCCAGGTTTATCACCCCGGGTTATCCCCCTCCCTGAATTATCTGGGTTTGTCACCCTGGGTTTTCCTCCTCCCTGAATTATTCAGGTTTATCACCCCCACGGGCTATAAATGCCACCCCAGGTTGTCCCCCTCACTGAATTATCCAGGTTTATCACCCCATGAGCTATAAACCCCTCCCCAGTTTATTCCCCTCCCCGAATTATCCTGATTTATAACCCCCAGGGGCTAAAATCCCCCCCCAGTTTATCCCCCTCCCTGAATTATTCGGGTTTATCTCTCTGGGTTATCCCCCTCTCTGAATTATCCGTGTTTATCAACCCTACGGGCTAAAACTGCCCCAGGTTATCCCCCTCCCTGAATTATCCGGGTTTACCCCCCGTCCCACCCTGGGGGCTAACCCCCCACCCCAGTTTATATCCCCCTTCCTGAATTATCCGGGTTTATCACCCCCACGGGCTAAAATCCCCCAGTTTATCATCCTCCCTGTGTTATCCAGTTTTATCATCCCCTCAGGTTATCCCCCTCCCTGAATTATCCGTGTTTATCATCCCAGGTTATCCCCCTCCCCGAATGATGCTGATTTATCACACCCACGGGCTATAACCCCCCCCCCCCCCAGTTTATCCTTCTCCCTGAATTATCCAAGTTTATCACCCCCCACGGGCTACAAATGCCACCCCAGGTTGTCCCCCTCCCTGAATTATCCGGGTTTATCACCCCCACGGGCTAAACCCCCCCAGTTTATCCCCCTCCCTGATTTATCCCCCCACAGTTCATTCCCTTTTCCCGTGCTTATCATCCCCTCCCATTTCCCTTCCTCCCCGAATCTCCCGCACTCCGCCCACCCTGGAATTCCCCCCATCCATGGGGTGACCCCGCTCAATCCCGGCTGCTTTTCTCCCTTTTTTCCCCCCTCCTCCCGCAGGTCCCGTCCCCTTTGGGGCGCTGCCGTCCCCTCCCGTGTCCCCCCCGGCGGGAGGAGCCGCTGCCGGTGAGCGGGGACGGGGCTGGGGGTCCTGGGGGGTCCCTGGGAGCGGGATTGACCCATCCTGGGGGGGCTGGGGGTGGGACTGATCCATCCTGGGGGTCCCTGGGACCGCGACTGACCGATCTGGGGGTCCTGGAAGTCTGGGGGGTCCCCGGGAGCGGGACTGACCCATCCTGGGGGTGCCGGGGGGTCCCTAAGACTGGGTCTGACCCATCCTGGGGTTCCTGGGGGCCGGGACTGACCGATCTGGGGGTGCTGGGGGCTCCCCAAGACCGGGACTGATCAGTCCTGGGGGTGCTGTAGGGTGTCCAAGACCGGGACTGAAAAATCCTGGGGGTCTTGGGGGTCTCCGGGACCGGGTCTGACCCATCCTGAGGGTGCTGGAGGGTTCCTGGGACGGGGTCTGAGCCATCCTGGGGGTCCCCGGGACGGAGTCTGACCGATCTGGGGGTCCCCAGGACGGGGATTGACCCATCCTGGGGGTCCTGGGGGTCCCCGGGACCAGGACTGACCCATCCTGGGGGTCCCCAGGAGCGGGTCTGACAGATTTTGGGGGTGCTGGGGGGTCCCTAAGACTTGGACTGACCGATCTGGGGGTGTTGGGGGGTCTGGGAGACCGGGACTGACCCGTCCTGGGGGGTCCTCGGGAAGGGCACTGATCCATTCTTGGGGTCCTGGGGGTCCCCGGGACTGGGTCTGACCGAGGCTGGAGGTCCCTGGGACCGGGTCTGACCCATCTGGGGGCTCCCCGGTACCGGCACTGACCGCCCCCCCGCCCCTCTCCCGCAGCCCCACGCTCTGCGCCCCTGACCGGAGGCACCGAACCCCGCGGGAGCGACCCGGGACCCCCCCGAGGGGAATAAAGGGGCTGGGGGGGATCTGTGAGCGTGGTGGTGATGGAGGGGCTGGCGGGGGGTGGCATGGGGACAGCGGGGACAGCGGTGTCCCCAGAGGGATGCCGTGCCCGTGGGGGGCGGGGGTCGCGTCCCTTGGGATCCTTGGGTGGGCAATTCGTGTCCCAGGGGGCGGGCGTCCGATTTTGGGGTGCCGTGTCCCGTGGGGCTGTCCCTGTCCCGCGGCAGTGTCCTTGTCCCCAGGCCTGTCCTTGTCCCGTGGGGCTGTCCCGTGGCACTGTCCCTGTCCCTTGGGGCTGTCCCTGTCCCGTGGCAGTGTCCCTGTCCCGTGGCAGTGTCCCCGTCCCGTAGGTGCCCGTGTCCCACGGATGTCCCTGTCCCCATGTAGGGTGTCCCTGCCCCACGAATGTCCGTGTCCCTTGGCTGTCCCTATCGCGTATAGAGTGTCTCTATCCCCGCCGCTGTCCGTGTGTCCCACAGATGTCCCTGTCCCCTGTAGGGTGTCCCTGTCCCACGGGTATCCGTGTTCCCAGGCTGTCCCTGTCCCACGGGTGTCCCTATCCCATATAGTGTCCCTGTCCCTGTCGGTGTCCTTGTCCCACGGCTGTCCCTGTCCCGTGTAGGATATCCCTATCCCCGCCGGTGTCCGCGCCCCCTAGCTGTCCCTGTCCCGTGTAGTATATCGCTATCCCCGCCGGTGTCCCTGTCCCACGGGCGTCCGTGTCCGTGTCCCGCTCCCCTCCCGAACTCCATTTCCCATCACACCCCGCTCCCCTTTCCGGTTGTGCGGCGCACAGATGTGACGTCACTCTCCGCGCCGCGCAGTCGCTCAGGCGCCGCCATGCTGCGGGCGCTGAGGCGCTGCCTCCCGGGGCCCGTCCCGCTCCCGGGGCTAGGCCCCGGCTCCGGCCCCTCCCCGGGGCTCTGCCCCGCCTGGGGCCCGCGGGCGGTGCCGGCGCGGGGCCGCAAGACCCGGCACGACCCCCCCGCCAAGTCCAAGGCGGGCCGGGTGAAGCTGCCGCCGCCCGTGGACCCCGAGGAGCTGCTGGTGGTGCAGGAGCGGTACCGGCAGCACCGGCTGGTGCTCAGCGCCCTCCGGTACCGGGGCTGCGGGGCTGGGCTGGGCTGGGGCCGTGGAGATGGGGGCTGGAGGCAGGGGAGGGTCGGACATGGGCTGGGACTGGTTGTGGGGCTGGGGATGGATGTGGGCTTGGGTGAGGGACTGGCTGTGGGACAGGAGAAGGGCAGGACTGGTTATGGGGCAGGGGAGGGGTTGTGGGTTTGAGTTACGGATTAGTTATGGGGCAGGGGAAGGTCGGACATGGGCTGGGGCTGATTATGGGGCTGGGGGTGGTTGTGGGTTTGGGTAAGGGACTGGCTGTGGGACAGGAGAAGGGCAGGACTGGTTATGGGGCAGGGGAGGGGTTGTGGGTTTGAGTTACGGATTAGTTATGGGGCAGGGGAAGGTCGGACATGGGCTGGGGCTGATTATGGGGCTGGGGGTGGTTGTGGGTTTGGGTAAGGGACTGGCTGTGGGGCAGGGCAGGGTTGAAGGGCTGGGTTTGGGGCAGGAGCTGGGTATGGGGTTTTGGGGGACTGCCTTTATTTCGTATAGGACTGGCTGTGAGGCAGGGGGCAGGTGTATGGGGCTGTGAGGCTGCTGTGGGACAGGGGAAGGTTGGGGGTGGCTCTGGGTGTGGAGTTGGAGGCTGAATGAAGTGCTGGGGGCTGATGTGGAACAAGACAGGGTTGTGGGGCTGGCTGTGTGGTGGGAGGCTGGATATGGGGCTGTGAGGCAGGGGAGTGTGGCCTTGTGGCCATTTGGGGCCGCTGTGAGGGACAGTGGGGCTGTGGAGGGGTGGCTGTGGGGCACTTTGTAACGGGAGCCGGGAGATCTGGGGGGTGGGAAGAGTGGTGGGGTTTGCACTGATGAGGGGCAGGGAAGAGTGAGGGTGGTGGCACTGGGAGCACTGAGGGGCAGGGTCAGGGTGGTGGCACTGGGAGCACTGAGGGGCAGGGTCAGGGTGGTGGCAGTGGGAGCACTGAGGGGCAGGGTCAGGGTGGTGGCACTGGGAGCACTGAGGGGCAGGGTCAGGGTGGTGGCACTGAGGGGCAGGGTCAGGGTGGTGGCAGTGGGGGCACTGAGGGGCAGGGTCAGGGTGGTGGCACTGGGAGCACTGAGGGGCAGGGTCAGGGTGGTGGCAGTGGGGGCACTGAGGGGCAGGGAGGGTCAGGCTGTTGGGGCTGGCTCTGCTCTGGGGCAGTCCGGGCAGACCCCGCTGTGCTGCCGGCCCCGGGCAGGAGCTCAGCGCCCTCCCCCGGCCCTGCAGGGCGGAGTTCAAGGCCGAGGTGCTGCAGAAGAAGCGGGAGGAGCGCCTGACCGCCGAGGGCTCGCCGGAGCAGCTGGAGGAGCACCGGCGGCTGATGGCCTGGAACGAGGAGGAGAACGGGCGGCAGAGGGCCCGCAGGTCAGCGCGGCCCCTGCAGGGCACGGCGGGCACTGCTCGGGCACAGCTGGGCACAGAGAAGCTTGGGCAGGGTCATTCCTGCGTTAGGAACTGGTTCATGGCTGAGCCCAGTGGGGAATGGTCACGCCAGAGGTGTCCCCAGGGCTCAGGGTGTCCCCAGCCCTGTTTGATGCCTTTGCTGATGATCTCCATGTGGGGGTTGAGTTCACCAGCAGCAGATTTGCAGGTGGCACCGAGCTGGGTGTGAGTGTGGGTGTGCTGCAGGGCTGGAGGGCTCTGTAAGGGACCTGCACAGGCTGCATCCAAGGAAATGAGGGATAACAAGTGCAGGTGTGGGGTTCTGCTCAGCAGCCAGGCAGAAAGGGACCTGGCGGACAGATGGACAGCAGGCTGGACACGAGCCAGCACAGTGCCCAGGGGGCCTGGATCAGAAATGGTCCAGCAGGAGCAGGGCAGGGATTCTTCCCCTGTGTGAGGGCACACCTCGAGTGCTGTGCCCAGTTCTGCCCCCTCAGTTCAGGAAAGATGTGGAGATGCTGGAATGTTCCAGGGAAAGGCAGCAAAGCTGGGGAAAGGTCTGGAACTCAGGTCCTGGTAGGAGCAGCTGGGAGGCTCAGCCTGGGCAAAGGAGGCTCAGGGGAGACCTTGTCACTGTCCACAACTCCCTGACAGGAGGGTGCAGCCAGGATGGGTCAGGATCTGCTGCCTGGGAGCAGAGGACAAGAGGACACAGCCTTTCCCACCCTGACTGATTCTGTGATTCTGTTTGAATAAATCTGCCTGTGCAGCTCTCGTGGTTCCTGTGCCTTCTGCTGCTGAGGGCCGAGTCAAGGTGCTCTGGGTGGAGGTGTCACCTCCTCCATGACATTTTCCTTTCTGCCTGGCAGAGAGGAGAGACGCAGGAGAGAAGAGGAGGAGCAGAAGAGGAGGAAATCAGAGATTGCAGAGAAACAGGCCAGGAAAATGGAGGCTTTCCTGGAGGAGAAGGAGAAGGAGGTTCTCCAGCTGCAGGTAAGAGCAGCTGGTGCCTCCTGGGGAGCAGCTTGCCAGAATTCCCTGCCAGGGAGCCATGTGGGAGCCGTGGGATTGTTTTCCACAGATTTCTCAGCTGGCAGCTGGGAACCACAAGCCCCAGCACCTTCCTGGGGTGTTGACAGCGTGTGGATGGGAGGGAGCTTGAGCCAGAGCTCTGGGAACAGGCTGGAATAATCCTGAGGGGGACAATCCTTGTGCTTTGCTTCAGGAGGAAGCCAAAAACTTCATCACCCCCGAGAACCTGGAGGCTCGGATCGAGGAGTGCCTGGACAGCCCCCGCAATTACAACTTCGCCATCGACAAGGACGGGCGCGTCGTCAGGCGCACGGTGCTCTCGTAGCAGCCCTGGCTCTGGTGTCCAGAGCCCCCAGAACACACAGATCCTTCCTTGGAATGTATAAATTGGCCTCAGAAGTGGTGGAGAAGGGCTCTGGCTGTGCTGCCTCCAAAGGGTTAACGCTGAGGGAAAGGGGGTGAGGGGAACTTGGAGGCTGCAGCTCAGCCCTGGTGCTGTGCCTGTGATCCCACCTCCCACGTGTTTGGATCCTTCACACACAGCATGTGGGGGGAGCAGGAGCAGTCCTGAGGCAGAGCCTGGCTCAGCTCCTCGCTGTCAGCTCCTCTGGATGCTTCCAAAGGCAAAGGAGGGCTGAATGAATTTGTAGGAAACACTGACCTTCCCTTTTTTTTGTTGTTGGGGGAAGGAATTAATTGTAATCCTGATTTCACACTTCAAACCCTCCTTTGCACATCCCTTGGTGTGGCTGAATAAGAATGTGTCTGAATGATCCAGGATTTCTGGTGTCTCATTAATTCCTCCCTTTAGGCTTAATTTATTCATCACCACTGAAAATATAGATAAAATTGTAATGGCTTTGGGTGTTCTGGGTTGTTGGGGTCTTGTAGGCTGTCAGCTTTGTCCTAAAACTTCTGGTTTTGGGCTGAGCCTAGAGTTTGCTGTGGTTCAGCCATGGTCTGCAAGTCACTCTCCCTCCTTCCCTCCCTCCCTCAGTTCATTGACCTGAAACTCTCACTTTTTACCTCCACTTTTCCCTAAAAGTGTCTTCTCCCAAGCCTGCACCTCAACCCAGCAAGCACACAAAACCCACAGACTTGTGGCTGGGTTGTTTTTCTGTCCAAGTTTTATTTCTAGTTAAGCTCAAAGCTCATCACTTCAGTCTGAATCACAGCCCAGGGTGGGGCTGGGACGGCGATGGATGCAGGATCCTGCAGGTTCTCTCCTGGCTGGGCTACACCAACAGCAGCTCCTGGTCACAGGATGAGTCAGTGCCACAGCCCTCTGAGGGGAGACAGGGGGGAGTGTGGTGTGAAATCAGGCAGCACCCACCAGACCCCAGGGACCCCCCAAAACAGGCCCCAGAGATCTCTGAACCATCTCCAGGGACCCTCTGAACCTGCTCCCAGAGATCCCTGGAACAGCTCCTAAAGATCCTTAAAACAGCTCCTAGGGATCCCTGAAACAGCCCCTGGGAACCCCCAGAAACAGCCCCCCAGGGACCCCCAAAAGAGCCCTCAAGGACTCCCCAAAACAGCTCCTAGAGATCCCTGAAACAGCTCCTAAAAGTCTCTGAAACAGCTCCCAGGAACCCCCAAAAACAGCCCCCAGGGACCTTCTGAACCAACTCCCAAAGATCCCTGAAACAGCTCCCAGAAATCTCCAAAGTAGCCCCCATGGACCCCCCAAAACAGCCCCCAGGAACCTCTGAACCAGCTCCAAGACATCCCTGAAACAGCTCCCAGGAACCCCCAAAAACAGCCCTCAAGGACTCCCCAAACCAGCTCCAAGAGACCCCCAAAACAGCGCCCAAGGACTCTCTGAACCAGCTCCCAGAGATCCTGAAACAACCTCAAAAAACAGCCCTCCAGGACTCCCCAAACCACCTCCCAGAGATCCCCAAAACAGCCCCCAGGAAGCCCCAAAAACAGCGCCCAGAAATCCCCCAAACATCCAGAGAACCCCCAAAAACAGCCCCCAGAGACCCCCCAGCACTGGGGTTTGCTGAGCTCCTGCTCACTCCATTCTCTGATGCTTTCCAGGATTTACAGCAGGATCCCTGCCAGTTTAATTTAGGGAGGAGGGTGGGATTTTGAGAAAAACTGATGAGAGCAGATGGGACGTGGCTCCTGCACTTGCTCAGCCCCCAAAATTTGTTTGCTGTCTGCTTCCCTCTGCCCCAAACCTTCCCAGTCTCATCCCTGGGGTCTGGATAGGACCTGGAGCGTGCCCTGGCTGGACACACGGATGGGACAAAGAATCCCTGGAGCATCCTCCCCTCTCCCACTGTTGTAAGAACCCTGAATCCCCTCCCGGCTGTGCCGGGGCTCGGGACAGCAATCCCGGGATGCCGTGCCGCCCTCACCGGTGCTGCAGCAGATGCCGGGAGCGGCGCAGCTCCCTCCGGAGCCGCAGGGTTTGCGTCCCGACTCGCAGGGCGTGGGCAGGAAGTTTTCCTCCTGGCAGCGCAGCGCCTCCGAGGTGCCGATGTAGCAGCCCAGCTCCTCCCCGCAGCAGATGTTGGGCCCGAAGCAGTGGCCCTTGTTCCGGGGGCCGCAGGGCAGGCACTGCTCGGGGAACGGGGGGAGAAAAAGGTAGGGAGAAGGGAGGGATGGAGTTGGGAGTGCTCCAAGCCCTCCCAGGACTTACCTTCCTGATGTCCATGTCCAGCACAGCTCGTTTGCCCCCGATGGGGCAGTTCTGGATGTAGCAAGCAGAGGAAATAGTCAGGAGCCCCAGGAGGCAGAGAGCCAGAGCCTTGCAGGGCATGGCGGCGGGACAGGGGGGATTTGTGGCTGCTCATCCCAACTGCTGGCCCTGTATTTATAGTCCTGGCTCCTGCTTAGGGATTCTGGCACCGGCGTCACCAGTGCTCCTTAAAAACCACAAGGCATTGCTTCCCACAGCACAGGGCTCGGCTAATAGCCAGAGGTCGAGGACGTGAGGTCAAGGACAAGGTGCTGGTTTTCTCCTCAGTGATGAGTCTGGCAGGGACGTGTGGAGGTTGTGGATGGAGCTGGAGGAACCTGGGGAGATTGTGGATGGAGCTGGATGAATGTGTGGAGGTTGTGGGTGGAGCTGGATGGACGTGGGGGTTGTGGATGGAGCTGGATGGATGTGTGGAAGTTGTGGATGGAGCTGGATGGATGTGTGGAAGTTGTGGATGGTTGTGTGGAGGTTGTGGATGGAGCTGGATGAACGTGTGGAGGTTGTGGATGGAGCTGAAGGAACGTGTGGAGGTCGTGGATGGAGCTGGATGAATGTGTGGAGTTTGAGGATGGCGCTGCATGGATGTGTGGAGGTTGTGGCTGGATATGTGGAGGTTGTAGATGGAGGTGGATGGATGTGTGGAGGTTGTGGATGGACGTGTGGAGGTTGCGGATGGAGATGTGGAGTTTGGGGATGGAGTCTGGGCTTGGGTCCCTTCTCTGGCAGCCCCTTTGGGCTGCTGAGCTGTGGTGTGTCCCGTTGGGAACCCCTCTGGCATGGAGACAGGAGGGATGAAGGAAGGCAGCTGCAGGTGGGATGTGTCCATCAGGAGCAGGGTGAGAAGGATGTGCGCTTCTCTTGGCTTCAGATCCCTTTGGGTGGGAGGAAGCAGCCCCAAATCCTCTGGGATCATCCATGGGGATGTCCTTGTTGGCCCTGGCCTTTGGGGGATGCTCTGCACTGCGTTATCCCTCTCTGGGACAATAGTGACAACCAGCCCATCCCCACCCACCTCCATCCCACAGCTCCAAAGCTACCTGAGAACACCAAACCTCCCGGGCAAAGGCCTGAAATCCCAAATTTCCCCACTGCTTCTCCTTGGAGCTGCACACAGGGATCCAGGGTGGTGTCCTGAGCCCCATCACCAGCAGACAAAGCCCCCCCTACTCCTCCCTGAGAGGCAGAACCGAGGATGAGGCCGAAGGCTGACGCAACCACCCAAGATCCTGCTCACCCCTTGCCTTCCTTATCCCAATTAGGAGCTCCCAGCTTGAATAAATTTCCTTGCTGAGGACAAACCTTGACGTCCACTGAGATCATTACCCTGCACTGCCTTAATTGGGAATTAGGCAGCCCAGAGCTGGACAGCCGTGACCTTTTGCTGTCCCTCTGGCTTGCTTCAAAATCCACCACTTAGCGAGGCTGCCACGAGGGCAGCCAGGTCCCTGTCACCCAGCCTGGGTCAGGGCCAGTCCCTGGGGACAAGGCAGGCACTGGCATCCATGGAAATGGCTTGGAAATGGGGCTCAGCTGTCCCAGCAGCTCTGCTCTGGCTGCAGCATGGGATGGAGGGAGGGAATTGTCATCCCAGAGCCCCTGTGGCTGCTCCAGGGGTGCCCAGATGTGTCTCAGGTAGAAAAATGGGGGGAAACCCCCAGTTATCAGCCCCTGGTACTTTCTGGGGACTGGATTTTTGCCTGATTTTGAGGTGACAGAGCAATCCCAGGTCAGCCCCACATTCCCAGTGCTGCAGGAATGCTGGGGGTTCACATCCTGCATCTTGGAAAATCCGAGTGCTGGAGCTGGCCTGAAAGCCCAGTTCCCTCATCCCAGCTTGGAGTCCCCCATCCATGCTGGAGTCACCCCTTTCCCAAAGATTTTGAGGTGATTTGGGGTTGCCCTCCTTCCCCAGGGCTGGGATCAGATACAAGCAGGTCCTGGATCAATCCTGGATGTCCTGGATTGATCCTGGATGTCCTGGATTGATCCTGCATGTCCTGGATCAACCCTGCAGGTCCTGGATCGATCCTGCAAGTCCTGGATCAATCCTGCAGGTCCTGGATCAATCCTGGAGGCCCTGGATTGATCCTGGAGGTCCTGGATCAATCCTGCAGGTCCTGGATCAACCCTGCAGGTCCTGGATCAATCCTGGATGTCCTGGATGGATCCTGCTGGTCCTGGATCGATCCTGCAGGTCCTGGATCAATCCTGCATCCCCTAGGGGCACAGGGAGTGTCCCCGATCTTGCTGGAGTCAGGGAGCTCCACCTCCCGGGAGGCGCCACCTCCCTCAGGGACACTATAAAGGACGAGCTGTCCCCTGTGCCCTGGCCAGTGCCAGCCTGGAGAGACCTCGGAGCCAGGACCCTGCAGGGTAAGAGAGCCGGGAGAGGGTTGGGATACCCCAAATCCTGGGGGTGACTGTGGGATAACGGGGACTGATCCTCCCTGTGGGTGTCCAGAGGGGATGGGGAAAGATGGGACCAGCCCTGGAGGGGATCTTTGGAGCTGGGAGCCCAAATCTCTCTGCTCTTGAGGAATTTGGGGTGCTTCTTCCTCGGGAAAGGGAAAGCACTCCCCAAAAAAGCATCTCTCTCAGCTCTTGAGGGATTTGGGGTGCTTTTTCCTTGGGAAAGGAAAAGTACCCCAAAAAAGCATCTCTCTCAGCTCTTGAGGGATTTGGGGTGCTTTTTCCTTTTCCTGACTTTTTATCATTTTTAGTAGATGCTGTGCTGATTGCTGAAGGCAGCCAGGCCCCGGATCTGCCCCAAAGAGGGGCTTGGCCACGAGGTAAGGTGACAGTGCCACATCCCAGCTGTCCCCACGCCCCTGGGGCTGGGGGTGCTGCTGGGTGGGACCCCATGGCCAGATCCCAAATTCCAGCTCTGCCTGGGAGCTGAAAGGACAGAGCCCAAATCCTGCACCCAGCCCAGCCAAACCACTGCACTCTGTGGGAATTTGGGGACAGAAAATCCTCCAGCACCCCCATCCTGAGCCCCAGCCAGATCCCATGGCTGGATCTGGGGACAGAAGAGTCTCCAACACCCCTTCCTGAGCCCCAGCCAGATCTCCTGCATCTGGGGACAGAAAATCCTCCAGCAACCCCATCCCAAGCCCCCAGCCACATCCACTGGATTTGGGGACAGAAGCCCATCCAAAATCCCCATCCTGAGCCCCACCCAGACCCCATGGTTGGATGTGGGGACAGAAGAGCCTCCAAAATCCCCTTCCTGAGCCCCAGCCAGATTCCCTGGATTTGGGGACAGAAAATCCTCCAGCACTACCATCCTGAGCCCCCAGCCACATCCCCTGGATCTGGGGACAGAAGACCCTCCAATATCCCCTTCCTGAGCCCCAGCCAGATCCCATGGTTGGATTTGGGGACAAAAGAGCCTCCAACATCCCATCCTGAGCCCCAGCCAGATTCCCTGGATTTGGGGATAGAAGAGCCTCCAGCACCCCCATCCTGAGCCCCAGCCAGACCCCCCGGAGCCCCCAGGAGCCACCCCAGCGCCCGGGACGAGGCCACCACAGTGCACGAGGGCTTTTATTGGGTCAGGTATGTACAGAGCCGAGCTGGGGGGGTCTGTCAGGGTAAGGGGGGCTCCCCACGCCCTGGCTCAGAGCAGGGGGTGCTTGCCCTGCTGCTGCTGCTGCTGCTGCTGCCGGTTCGCCAAGTGCATGAGCTTGAGGAGCAGATCCCCGGCCGAGCCATCCAGCAGCGTCAGGTTCTTCTCGTCCGCCGCCTCCTGAGCGCCCTCGCCGCCCTCGTCCAGGCAGGCGCTGTCCATGGTGCACGTCTCTGCCGCGGGAGGACAGAGGAGTGGCTCGGGTTATTTGGGATCATCAGGGAGGTGTTTATGGCTGGGGAAGGGGTTGGTGGCAGCCTGAGGGGCCAGCACAGTTCGTACCCTGAAAATGATGGTGCAACTCCTTCCCCTGCTAATGAACCCCCCAGGCAAACCTAATCTCCATCACTTCATCACTCTATCTCTCCTGTTGAGCAGGGAGCAGGGATGGGGTTTCTGGCATGTCAGGGAGGCTGTGCTGGCCAGGAAAAGCTCATGGTGCATCAGGAAGGGACTGAGAGCCCAATCCTTTAGAGTCAGAATGGTTTGAGTTGGAAGGGACCTCTAAGAACATCTTGTGCCATGGGCAGGGACACCTTCCACCATCCCAGGGTGCTCCAAGCCCCCTCCAACCTGGCCTGGGACACTTCCAGGGATCCAGGGGCAGCCACAGCTTCTCACCCTCAAAGGGAACAATTCCTAATTCCCAATATCCCACCTAACCCTGCCCAGAGAGAGAATTGTGGTAAAAGTGAGAAAAGTCACAGCTTGAGATGACAGAATGATGGAATGGTTTAGGAAGGGACCTTAAATCCCATCCAGTGCCACCCCTGCCATGGGCAGGGACATCTCCCACTGTCCCAGGGTGCTCCAACCCCATACAACCTTGCCTTGGGCACTTCCAGGATCCAGGGGCAGCCACAGCTTCTCTGGGCACCCTGTGCCAGACCCTCCCCACCCTCCCAGTGAACAGCTCCTTCCTTACCCCCACCCTGAACCCACCATCCCCAAATCACCTCCCAACACCTCTTCCCCTCCACCCCTCACTTCCCCCTCCCTGAAACCATCCCACCCCAGCAGCTCTGCGTTCCCTGCCGAGCCCTCCCCGTTCCCTTCCCGCCCTCCGTTCCCGGTTACCGGCGCTGCAGCAGATGCCGGGCGCGGCGCAGCGGCCGCCGGAGCCGCAGGGCCGCCCCTCGGGCTGGCAGGGCGAGGGCAGCGCGTCCTCCTGGGCGCAGCGCCGCGTCTCCGCCGTGCCCAGGTAACAGCCCAGCTCCGCGCCGCAGCAGATGCCGGGCCCGAAGCAGCTCCCTCTGTTGCCGGGACCGCAGGGCAGGCACTGCGGGGAGGAGCTGCCTCAGTGACCCCAACAAACCCCAACAAACCCCTCGTGCACACCCCGGGGTTAGAAACCCCCACGGGGATGCAGCCCTGGGGATGGAGCTGGAGGAACGTGTGGAGGCTGTCGGTGGAGTTGGATGGAGGTGTGGAGGTTGTGGATGGAGCTGGATGGATGTGTGGAGTTTGTGGATGGAGCTGGAGGAATGTATGGAGGTTGTGGATGGACGTGTGGAGGTTGTGGATGGAGCTGGATGGAGATGTGGAGGTTGTGGATGAAGCTGGATGGACATGTGGATGTTATGGATGGAGATGGATGGAAGTTGTGGAGGTTGTGGATGGAGCTGGATGAGCATGTGGAGGCTGTGGAAGGAGGTGGATGTACGTTTGGAGGTTGTGGATGGACCTGGATGGACATTTAGAGGTTGTGGATGGAGCTGGATGGACGTGTGGAAGTTGTGGATGGATGTGTGGAGGTTGTGGGTGGATGTGTGGAGGTTGTGGATGGAATCTGGGGTTGGGGCCTTTCTCTGGCAGCCCCTTTGGGCTGCTGAGCTGTGGTGTGTCCCGTTGGGAACGCCTCTGGCATGGAGAGGGGAGGGATGAAGGATGGAAAGCAGCTCCCCACCAGCCCGTCTTCCAGGTCTGGAGGTGCCACACTGCCACCAGCAACGGTGACCTTGTATCCCTGCTTTGAGGGGTCCCCATGACCTCCCTGTCCCCTCTCCATGCTCTGTCCTGTCCTGCTGCCCCCCAGCCCAGCAGCTGTGCTGTGCCAAACTCTGCTGTGGCTGAGCTTGAGGCTCTTCTCCAGGTGCCAACAGCACTTTGGAGCTGTCACTCCTCTGCCACTGCCCCATTGCATGTCCCCCTGCCACCCCAAAACCCCCTCTGCTCCCGGGAGGGTGGCACAGTGCCATGGTGCTACAGAGCCAGCGATGCCCACAGGTGATGGGGAGCTTCTGCACCCCCCAGAGCCACTCTGTGTCTCGGTACAGAAAGCAGCTCCCCACCAGCTCCTTTTCCAGCTTCTGGAGGTGCCACACTGCCACCAGCAATGGTGACCTTGTGTCCCTGCTTTGGGGTGTCCCCATGAGCTCCCTGTCCCCATGACCAAGGTCCCCATGCCCTCCCTGTCCCCTGTCCGTGCTCTGTCCTGTCCTGCTGCCCCCAGCCCTGCAGGACTCTCTGCTGAGCCTCTTTCCAGGTGCCAACAGCACTTTGGGGCTGTCGCTCCTCCACCACTGTCCCACCCCAAATCCCCTCTGCTCCCGGGAGGGTGGCACAGTGCCACAGTGCCCAGAGGCGACCCCCAGAGCCCCCTGTCCCTCCCGAGGCTCCATCCCTGTCCCCATCTCCCATCCCGTACCTGTCTCACGGCTGTGTCCCCCAGCGCTCGCTTCCCGCCCCGGGGGCAGTTCTGGATGTAGCAGGCGGAGGAGAGGGCGAGGAGGCAGAGGAAGGAGAGGGGCAGCGAAGGCTCGGCCATGGTGCAGGGGAAGCTGCTCCGGCTCTCTGGCCCCGTGCTGAGAGCGCCGCTATTTATGCAGCCATCACCCCTTCCCCGGGGAGGAGGAGGAGGAAGAAGAGGGGTGGGTTGGGTTTTTTTGTTGTTTTTCCTTTTTTCTTTCTTTTTTTTTTCTTTTTTTCTTTTTTTTCTCCCAAATCGCATCCAAGCAAATCTGTAACTGAGATGATTCAGTGCAGCAGCACTCGGGGCTGGTGAATCCCACCCTTGGCTGCTCCAGGGGCACGGGCCAGCCCTGGATGGGCTTGGGGAGGGTTCAGGGAGAGGTGATCCTTCAGAAGGTGCTGGTTTGGGGAGGGATGGGGGTTTGGAAGAGGCATTTTGGGGAGGAATATGGGTTTGGGGACAGATATTCATTCAGGAGACGTGGTTTTGGGAAAGATGCAGATTTTGGGAAGGTTTTGGTTTGGGGTGATGCTGGTTTGGGATGGATGTGGATTTTGGGATGCAGATTTTGGGATGGATCTGGGTTTGGGGACAGATGTTTGTTCAGGAGATGTGGTTTTGGGAAAGATGCGGATTTTGTGACTCAGTCTGGGGATGGATGTGGGTTTAGGGACAGATGTTCATTCAGGAGATGCGGGTTTTGGGAAAGATGCAGATTTTGGGAAGGTTTTGGTTTGGGGTGATGCTGGTTTGGGATGGATGTGGATTTTGGGATGCAGTCTGGGGAGAGATGTGGATTTAGGGACAGATGTTCGTTCAGGAGATGTGGGTTTGGGAAAGAGGCAGATTTTGGGAAGGGTTTTGATTTGGGGGTGATGCTGGTTTGGGATGGATGTGGAGTTTGGGATGCAGATTTTGGGACGGATCTGGGTTTGGGGACAGAGGTTCATTCAGGAGATGTGGGTTTGGGAAGGATGTAGATTTTGAGATGCAGTCTGGGGAGGGATGTGGATTTAGGGACAGTAGTTTGTTCAGGAGATGTGGGTTTGGGAAAGATGCAGATTTTGGGAAGGATGATGGTGTGGGGATGATGCTGGTTTGGGATAGATGCAGATTTTGGGAGAGGTGCTGGTTTCAGAGAGATGCTGCTCTGGGAGCAATGCTGATTTGGGGAGGGATAAGGGTTTGGAAGGTGCTGCTTTAGAGAGGGTTGTTTATCTGGAGGATTCTGATTTGGGATTGATGCTGGCTTGGTGGGATGCAGGTTTTGGGAGAGGTGCTGGTTTGGGAAGGGATGCTGCTCTGAAGGGGGGATGGTTTGGGAAGTGGTGGTGGTTTGGTGCATGCTGGCCTAGGAGGGATGCTGCTTTGGGGAGGGATGCTGATTTAAGGGATGCTGATTTAGGGAGGGATGCTGCTTTGGGGGATGCTGCTTTAGGGAGGGATGATGATTTTTGGGATGCTGGTTTAGAGAGGGATGCTGCTCTGTGGGATGCTGGTTTGTGGATGCTGCTTTGACTGATGCTGCTCTGGGAGGGGACACTGGAGGGGAGTGATGGGGTTGGGGCTGGGAGAGAGCCCTGGGTGCACAAACACCCCAGACCTGGGGCTGGGCTGCAGCATTGGGGTGCAGGGCGGGGTCTGTCCCCAGAGTGACCCATCAGGGCCACCCACGGCTCTCCTGCCTCTTCCCCCTCCTCTCCAAGGAACAGGAGGCAGGGAAAGCACTGGGAGAGGGGACAGCAAAAGAAAGGGCAGCTCTGGGGCTGGCAGCAGCACATTCATGCACTCATGTCACCCACGGGCTGTCAGAAACATCTGTAGGAAAAACGCCATCATCATCCCCCTGTCCCACCCAGCCATGAACATTCCTGCTGTTCCCTTTTCCAGCTACACCGAGGGCAACCTCAGCCATGTGGAAAATGAATGTGCAGAGAGGAATTCGGTGCCTGTGAGTATCCACCCTGTCCTTCTCCCCCCCAAAAATGCTGGGACTGGCTCACAGGGGTCAGGAGGGCTTGTTTGGGAGGGGGCTGGACAGTGTGGGGGTGCCGCCAGCTGTGGTTTTATCCTTATCTTCACATAAGGTGGGGAATTGAGGCAGAGAACCATAAAAATCAGCCTGACATCACTTGGGGTGGCTGAACATGTTTTTCCCCTTCCCCTCATTAGTTTCCCTTATTTTCTCCCCCTCATTACCCTCCCTGTTCTGCTGGACAAACCCCCCAGCCCCAGTCAGAGGGTGCTACCCTGGGTGGGGAAGGGGCTGCTCTGCCTGAGCATCCCAAAGGGAACGGTGATCCCACTGCAATCCTCCCTGGAAAACCTTGGTGTTTGTTCCCACAGGAAGCAATTCTGGAGGGGGCTGAACCCCAGAGCACCCCCCTAAGGGAAACTGAGGCAGGGAAGCATTTTATGCCTCAGTGCTGGGGCTCCCATCCTGCTCAGTGATTTTGGAGCACGGATCAGCCCAGGGGGTGACAATCCTGAGCTTTGGGGCTTTGCTGGGTGACACCAGGGCCATTTCATTTTCTCCCCCTCATTACCCTCCCTGTTCTGCTGGACAAACCTCCCAGCCCCAGTCAGAGGGTGCTACCCTGGGTGGGGAAGGGGCTGCTCTGCCTGAGCATCCCAAAGGGAACGGTGATTGTGGGATCACATTAAGCAACATGGAAAACCTTGGTGTTTGTTCCAAAATGCTTTGAAAAGCTCCACAGGAAGCAATTCTGGACAGGGCTGAACCCCAGAGCATCCTCCAAGGGAAACTGAGGCACGCAGGGAAGCATTTTATGCTTCAGTGCTGGGGCTCCCAGCCCATCCCCAGCTCCTGCCCAGTGATTTTGGAGCTCGGATCAACCTGGAGGTGACAATCCCGGGCTTTGGGCTCTGCTGGGTGACACCAGGGCCATCCCCTCCCCTGGAGGGGGTGAGGGTGGCCCCAGCCCCTGACTCAGCCCTCACTGGGACCGAGGGAGCAGCGAGTTCCCAGATTTGCCCCGTGATGCTGAATCACCCCCGTGGGGGATTTAACACCAGCATCATGAACACCATCCTCATTTCCCCATCCAAACCCATCCCTTCACAGCAGGAACCCAAACCCTCTTACGTTGCAGGGCCGAGGAGGACGCACGAAGCCCTCGGCTGGGAAAACTTTTCTTTAAAAGAGCCCCAAATGTCAGCTCTAAATTGGGTGTTACGGGCTCGTGCTCCGTCTCTTCATTACTGTATCGTAAAATTACATTAGCCGGGAACGATCTGCATTCAAATGACTCTGTGTCTGGAATGATAACACAGGAATATGAGATTAAAATGTAATTATGCTCTTTAAAGTCAAGGAAGGTTAATAAAATGTTTTTTCCGAGTTGCAGAGGCTCCGCAGCCGCGGAATCACTTACGGGAATCAAGGGTGGGAAAAGGGAGGGGGAAAGGGGTGGGAAACACAGAAAAGGGGTTTGGGAGGGAAATATTGGGGTCACCTGGGGTGAGTGATGGGATAAGGGATGCCAGGGGTGGGCAGAGCTGGCCCTGCTGGGCTGTGATGCTCCCAGGGTACTGCTGGGCCCCCATCCCACATCCTGCCCCCAAATGAGGGCTTGGGGTGCTCAGAGTCCGACCCCAAATCCTCCAACAGCAGCCCCAGGTCCCTTCTCTGTGTCCCCAGCATGGATTTGCTCTGCCACGTCCCTGCTCTACCCCAGAGGATGCTCCTGCTCCCCTGACAGGCCCCAGAGGCTCAGAGTGACACTGAGCAGGGTGTCAGTGCTGCCATCCCCATCCCAGCTCCCCTTGGGAATGAGGGAAATCCCAAAGGGATTGGGAATGGGGCAGCAGCCTCAAATCTGCCCCCCTGCTCAGCCAAAATACGGCCCCAGCTCTTGTTGATACCAGCAAAGGGTCTGGGGCTGCCAGAGGGGCTCAGCCATGGAGATCATGGAATCTGTGAGGTTGGAAAAGCTCTCCAAGATCATCAAATCCATCAAATCAAATCAAACCAAGATCATCAAATCCATCAAATCAAATCCAACCATTCCCCCAGCACTGCCAAGGCCACCCCCAGTGTCCCCAAGTACCACATCCACGTGGCTTTTAAACCCCTCCAGGTATGGGGACTCCAAACTGCCCTGGGCAGCTGTGCCAGAGCTGGAAAACCCTTTCCATGGAGAAATCTTCCCAAATATCCCACGTGAACCTCCCCCTTCCTTCATTAACAGCAGGAGCTTCCCAGAGGGGTTTTGTCTCCCTTTTGGAGGCAGGGGAAGGGAGGGAGGTGATGGAGCTTGGCTGCAGCACACGGAGCTCCAGGGGCAAAGTTTCACCAGGGTAAATGAGAGTGACAACAAACTAACCGGGATAAACCAGAGGATGTTGGAAAATGGGAAGAATTTCACTGATTTGCAGTGCCAACATTACAACCAGGAAAAACCAGAGAATGCTGGAAAATGGAGTGAATTTCACTGATTTTAGTGACAAACATTCCATCAGGATAAACCAGAGGGGTGCTGGGAAATGGGATGAATTTCATTAATTTGTAATGGCAACATCCAGCCAAGATAAACCAGAAGATGCTGGAAAATGGGATGTAGTGACAACATTCCATCAGGATAAAAAAGAGGAATGTTAAAAATGGGATGAATTTCGCTGATTTTAGTGACAAACATTCCATCAGGATAAGCCGGAGGGATGTTGGAAAACGGGGTGAATTTCACTGATTTGTAATAGCAACATTCCATCAGGATAAGCCAGAGGGATGCTGGAAAATGGGGTGGAATGCTGGAAAATGGCATTCCATCAGGATAAACCAGAGGAATGCTGGAAAATGGGGTGAATTTCACTGATTTTTGCATTTCCTGCCTGTCTGTGGCTGGAGGGGGATGCAGCAGGGAAGGAGAAGCTTCTTGAAGGCGTCCCATGGAGAGGGCCAGGCTGGCAAGGGGGAGCTCCCTGCCCCTGCCCGGGGCTCTAATGCTCCTCAAATGGCTCTGTCACTGTCACCCGGGCCCCTGGCTGATGGAGGGGAGGGGATCCTGCCCCTCCTCCCCTCTCAGCACAGCTCAAGATGCTGCTCTGCCTCCCTGACAGCTGGAAAACAGCTTTGATGCCTCTTTAAAGGCAGCGCAGGAAAGTTAAGATTGGCTGGGGCACAGCTTTGATCATTGCCAGGGCCAAATCCACCCTGCTGGGCTGTGGACGTCACACAGGGAGGTCACTGACCAACAAGGGATGGATTTGTCCAAAAAAAAATAAAAAATGATGCTTGAAGGGACAGCATTAGAGGAAATTGCTCAGGCTGCAATCAATTCCATTGCCCAGCTCCCAGGGAGAGCACAGGCCTGGGGCTGGAAATAAACCTGCTGTGGCATCCATGTGGGGGATCTGGGGAGGGATGCTGGTTTGTGGGGTGCTGCTTTAGGGGATGCTGCTTTGGGGAGGGATGCTGCTTTGTGGGGTCCTGGTTTTGGGAGGGAAGCTGATTTGGGAGATGCTGGTTTAGGGAGGGATGCTGCTTTTTGGGATGCTGCTTTAGGGAGGGATGCTGCTTTGGGGGATGCTGATTTGGGGGATGCTAGCTTTTAGGATGCTGATTTAGGGAGGGATGATGATTTTTTGGATCCTGCTTTAGGGACAGACGCTGATTTGTGGGATGCTGGTTTGGGGGATGCTGATTTAGGGAAAGATGATGATTTTTGGGATGCTGGTTTAGGGAGGGATGATGGTTTGTGGAATGCTGGTTTGGGAAGGGATGCTGATTTGTGGGATACTGCTTTGGGGGATGCTGCTTTGTGGGATGTTGGTTTAGGAGATGCTGATTTAGGGAGGGATGCTGATTTGGGGATGCTGCTTTGTAGGGTGTGGGTTTGTAGGATGCTGGTTTAGGGAGGGATGATGATTTTTGGGATGCTGGTTTAGGGAGGGATGATGGTTTGTAGGATGCTGGTTTGGGGAGGGATGATGATTTTTGGGATGCTGCTTTAGGGAGAGATGCTCTGTGGGGTGCTGGTTTAGGGACGGATGCTGCTTTGTGGGATGTTGGTTTAGGGGATGCTCATTTAGGGAGGGATGCTGATTTGGGGATGCTGCTTTGTAGGGTGTTGATTTAGGGAGGGGTGCTGGTTTGTAGGATGCTGCTTTGTAGGATGCTGGTTTGGGGATGCTGCTTCAGGGAGGGATGCTGCTCTGTGGGATGCTGGTTTGTGGATGCTGCTTTGACTGATGCTGCTCTGGGAGGGGACACTGGAGGGGAGTGATGGGGTTGGGGCTGGGAGAGAGCCCTGGGTGCACAAACACCCCAGACCTGGGGCTGGGCTGCAGCATTGGGGTGCAGGGCAGGACTCTGTCCCCAGAGTGACCCATCAGGGCCATCCACGGCTCTCCTGCCTCTTCCCCCTCCTCTCCAAGGAACAGGAGGCAGGGAAAGCACTGGGAGAGGGGACAGCAAGAGCAAAGCAGCTCTGGGGCCGGCAGCAGCACACTCCTGTCACCATGGGCGGTCAGAAACAGGATGGCTGTGGGTCCTGGCTCTGTGTCAGCACCACCCTGGGCTGCAGGGAGGGTCCCTGCTGCCCACAGGGGTCTCAGTGCCCTGGGACCAGCGGGATTCACACCCAGCTGGGGCAGGGGATCCTTCCCTGAGCTCCAAAATGTGGGAAATTCATCCCTGGATCCCCTGCAAGGGGGGGACACAGAGGGTGAAATGAGCTGCCAAGGGTCCCAGAGGGTTGAGGAGGAGGAATTGGGGGATGAAGGCTCTGAGAACCTGCAGTGAGGGGGAGAAGAGCCCTGCTCTGGTGTCCCAACACCAACCCTGCCCTTCCAACCCCTGCTCTGTGTGGCTCCTGCCCCTCCCTGCAGAACAAAGGGAAGGAAATTTGGGATGGAGGAAATCTGGGATAGAGGAAATTTGGGACGGAGAAAATCTGGGATAGAGGAAATTTGGAATGGAGGAAATTTGCGATGGAGGAAATTTGGGATGGAGGAAATCTGGGATAGAGGAAATTTGGGATGGAGGAAATCTGGGATAGAGGAAATCTGGGATAGAGGAAATTTGGGACGGAGGAAATCTGGGATAGAGGAAATTTGGGATGGAGGAAATTTGGGACGGAGGAAATTTGGGATGGAGGAAATTTGGGATGGAGGAAATTTGGGATGCCTCCACCTGGATCCCTGCCCACCTCAGGACACCACAAGGAACTTTTGGGCACTGCAGAAACTTGTCAGAACCGGTGGCTTTGGAAGCATCCAGGCTTTGCTGGCTGTGGTTGATGGCTCTGGGGATCCTCCCCCTTGCCTGGGGGAGGTGTGAGAGCTGAATCACCCCGGGATTGCTCACTGCAAACACGACACCAGCACTGCCATGGAGTGCAGTCACTGACTCTGAATCGTGGGGTTTTTAGGAATTTTGTGCCTATTTCCTAAGTGTTCATTATTTTAAGAAGTGTGATTTTCTATTTTTGCAGGGCTGTGAAGTCCTGCTGATGCAGACAGGGTCAGGGCCAGCACAAAGTTGGGCTCCAGGGCATGAGCAGCTCCTTCCCAACACCACAACTCTGCTCAGGTGCCTCTTGAGAGCAAATAAAGGTGTGAGCAAGGTGAGCTGAGCCAGCTGGAGGCTGTTATGGCCCAGAACATCAATGAAGTGGCACCACCAGGGGGTTGTGGAGGTGACAAACCCTTTGATGTCACCTTACCCCAGCATAGCCAGAACAGAACATATCCAAATTGGTTTTTTGTCTGGCTCTTTTCTCTCTGAAGCCCTCATGGGTTCAGGTGTCTGAGTCTCATCCCTGTGATGAACTTGCTGTCACAACCCCTCTGTAACCCCCTGCCTGCAGCTCCTCTGTGCTGGTTTGGCTTTTTCCAGCCTATTTCCTCCTCTGCCAACAGATTCACTCCATGACACCATTAAGCCTCAGGATGAAACCAATTAGCAGCCAGAGAGAGAGAGAGAGAGACAGAACCTGACTTTAAACATTTTATTAAGGCTTAAATGTCTATCAGCCAGCCAGGAGCTGGGCTGCTCACACACATAAACCGAGGGTGGGATGGGATGGCTTTTCTACAAGAGTCTGATGAGCAGGGGGGGATCACTGCCAGCTCCTCCCACCCCAGCCAGGCCCATTCCAGATGGGAGAGCCAGGTGGGCAAGGGGAGGAGGTCAGAGGAGGGAATTTGTGTGTGCTGTCACTCACAAGGGCTTTTACCTGCTCCACAGCCGGGCTGGCTGCTGGTCAAACGTGAACTCGCGGTGTGAGGGGGGGAAGCTGAGCTGCTCCAAAAGGCACCTGTGCTAAACCTCTGAGCCCCGGGGCAGTGCTGCAGACCAGTCCTGCACAAATACAGATTCCTTGATAAAGAAGCTATGGCTTTTGTCATCCTCGGGCTCCAAACCCCCCCCACAAACCCCCACTGGAGCGAGTCCTGTCTGCTGTCTCCACTCTGCGGCTCCTGGCGGCTCCCTGTGGACACGGGGCACAGCAGCAGCTCCTTCCCGTGCTGCCGGGCTCAGAAATGAACCCTCCTGACGTCCTGAGAGGCCGCTGCCCTCCTGCAGCTCCCGCAGAGGATGGGGGACGCCGGGGCCCGCGGCTCGGCCAGGCAGGGCCGGCACAGGAGGTGCCCGCAGGGGAGCTGGTACACGGGCTCCGCCCTGGAGTAACACGAGAAGGATTTGCCGCAGGAGGAACATCCCTGGCTCTGGCTGCTCCTGCCGTGCTCTGCAAGGCCACAAACACAGAATCACAATCAGAAGAGGCTGGAAAATAATCAGAATCAGAATCACAGCAGGTTGGAAAATCACAGAAACACAGAATCAGAATCTCAGCAGGTTGGAAAAATCAGAATCAGAGCAGGTTGGAAAATCACAGAATCAGAATCAGAACGGGTTGGAAAATCTCAGAATCAGAATCAGAGCAGGCTGGAACAATCAAAGAATCACAGAATCAGAATCATTTGGAAAATCTCAGAATCAGAATCAGAACAGGTTGGAACAATCTCAGAATCACAGAATCAGAATCATTTGGAAAATCTCAGAATCAGAATCACAGCAGGGTGGAAAATCACAGAATCAGAACAGGTTGGAAAATCTCAGAATCAAAATCGCAGCAGGTTGGAAAATCAGAGAATCAGAATCTCAGCAGGTTGGAAAATCACAGAATCAGAGCAAGTTGGAAAATCATAGAATCAGAATTAGAATCAGAATCAGAGCAGGTTGGAAAATCACAGAATCAGAATCAGAACAGGTTGGAACAATCTCAGAATCACAGAATCAGAATCATTTGGAAAATCTCAGAATCAGAATCTCAGCAGGTTGGAAAATCACAGAATCAGAATCAGAATCAGACTGGAAAATCACAGAATCAGAATCTGAATTAGAATCAGAGCAGGTTGGAAAATCTCAGAATCAGAATCAGAGCAGGTTGGAAAAATCAGAATCAGAATCAGATCAGGTTGGAACATCATAGAATCAGAATCTCAGCAGTTTGGAAAATCATAGAATCAGAATCAGAATCACAGCAGGGTGGAAAATCACAGAATCAGAACAGGTTGGAAAATCTCAGAATCAAAATCGCAGCAGGTTGGAAAATCAGAGAATCAGAATTAGAATCAGAATCAGATCAGGCTGGAAAATCAATGAATAAGAATCAGAATAGGTTGGAAAATCATAGAATCAGAATCAGATTGGAAAATCACAGAAACAGAATCAGAGTAGGTTGGAAAATCACAGAATCCGAATTAGAATAGGTTGGAAAATCATAGAATCAGAATCAGATTGGAAAAATCACAGAAACAGAATCAGAGTAGGTTGGAAAATCACAGAATCCGAATTAGAACAGGTTGGAAAATCACAGAATTAGAATCAGAATCAGAGCAGGCTGGAAAATCACAGAATTGGAATAGGTTGGAAAATCACAGAATCAGAATCAGAATCACAGCAGGCTGGAAAAAACTTCAGATTACTGAGTGAACCAACAGCACCGTGTCCAGGCTTTCCTGGTGGTTCCAGCACCTCCCTGGGCAGCCCCTTGCAATGTCTGCTCCTGAACCTCCCCTGGCACAGCTGGGAACAAAGGGACAGGAGCAGTGGCAGAGGCAGGGACAGTGAGAAGCCCAGGCTGTGCCCAGGCCCTGCAGGCTCAGGGCACAGCTGTGACTCAGGACTGTGCCACTCTCCTGTCATCACCACGAGGAAAGGGAAAGGTCCAGCCTGCAGGGCAGGGTGTGCTCAGAAAGGGAAGGGTCACATCAGCCCTGGCACCATCAGGCTTTTAATTGAGGACAGATGACTGTAAAAAAGGGCTTTTCACTTTTACTGAGATTAAATCACCCTCCCTGCAGCTCCTGCACAGCCATTCCCAGGGGGAACAGCTGAGGGGTCACTTTGCATTCCTGTCACACAGCACCCAGCTCAGCTCTCAAACAGCAGCAAAGAGCTGAATGTCACTGTGAAACAGCACAAGCTGCCTGGGGAGGGGGACAGAGGGAAAAACAGGCACAAGGAGATGGATGGACAGACAGACAGAGCCCTTCCCAGGGTCCCTCTGAAGCCCCTCCTCAGCCATGGGCAGCAGAGCCTCACCCAGGGGAAGGGAAACCAGGACAGCTGAAGGCTCAGAGCTCCCCTGCACCCCAAAGGAATAATTCTGGGAATGCAGGCACAGCTGGAAGGGTGGCTGGGCAGCAGCTGGGTGGCTGTGGCAGCCTGGATGGTGGACACTCAGTCCTGGTGGCATTCTGGGCACACACACACACAGCTGGCTGGCCTGGGGTGCTGCTGCTGCTGCAGTGACCTGCTCCTGCTAAGGGTGGATGTCACACGGTGCTTCAAAGAGTCAGGGAATGGTTTGGGTTGGAAAGGATCATAAAGCCCATCCCATTCCATGGGCAGGGACAGTTCCCACCATCCCAGGGTGCTCCAAGCCCTGTCCAACCTGGCCTTGGGCACTGCCAGGGATCCAGGGGCAGCCACAGCTGCTCTGGGCACCTGTGCCAGGACTTGCCCACCCTCACAGGGAGGAATTCCTTCCCAATATCCCATCTCACCCTGATCTTTTAGTTCACAAACATTCCCCCTTGTCCAGTGTGTATAAAAAGTGACTCTCCCTCCCTCTGAAGCCCTGCAAGGCTGCAGCCTTTGCTGGATTTACAGCTCTCCTGCAGCATCCCCACACCAGACTCATTCTCCACCCACGTGGCAGCTCCCCAGCCTGCTCCACACAGCTCACAGGCACCACTGAAGCTCTCAGCCCAAACTGCAGAGCTCTGAGAAAGTCTGAACTGAGCACTGTGTCCATCCCAGATCATCCTGGGGCAGCCAAGAACACAGGAACATCACAGCTCTGCTGCCACAGCCTGCTCTGACCCTGGGCATGGACAACATCCCACCCCTTGTGGGGTCAGCAAGGCCTGAGCTGCCTCAGGGGGAGAATAAAGCAGCAAAACTGCTGAGATAGAGGCAAGGATTGGGAAGTGAAGCTTGCTGGGAGACAATGAAATATTTTAAAATTGAATATATCATAGTCTGGGGTGTGAACAACACTCCCTGTTACCCCAGCCCCAGCTCCCAAAGGTGCTCCAGAGGTGCCTGCTGCTCACCAAGGGCTGTGCCCAGGCTCCAGGACGTGCTGCAGCCCCCCTCTCCTGGAGCCTGCTGCTGGCTCTTCATCAGCTTGGCCGTGAAGGAGGGCATGGAGCTGAGGGCAGAGGTCAGGGCAGAGTCCAGGCTCTCTGACAGCTTCTGCTCGTGGGACACCAGCTCTGCAAGGAAACAGAGATCAGGTGTGCAAGGGAATAGAGAAACCAGGTGTGCAAAGGGAACAGAGAAACCAGGTGTGTAAAGGGAACAGGGAAACCAGGTGTGCAAAGAGAATAGAAAAACCAGGTGTGCAAAGAGAATAGAGAAACCAGGTGTGCAAAGGGAACAGGGAAACCAGGTGTGCAAAGGGAACAGAGAAACCAGGTGTGCAAAGGGAACAGGGAAACCAGGTGTGCAAAGGGAAATGGAGAAAACAGGAGTGCAAAGAGAAACACAGAAACCAGGTGTGCAAGGGAAACAGAGAAACCAGGTGTGAAAAGGGGAATAGAGAAACCAGGTGTGCAAAGGGAACAGGGAAACCAGGTGTGCAAAGGGAAATAGAGACAAAATCTGCAAAGGAAAACACAGACAAAATCTGCAAAAGGAAACAGAGAGCAGGTCTGCAAAGGAAAACAGAGAAACCAGGTCTGGAAAGGGAACACAAACACCAGGTCTGCAAAGGGAAATAGAGATCAGGTGTGCAAAGGGAAACACAAGGACCAGGTGTGCAAAGGGAAATGGAGACCAAATCTGCAAGGGGAAATGGAGACCAGGTCCACAAAAGGAACACAGAGAAACCAGGTCTGCAAAGGGAAACATGGACCAGGTCTGCAAGAAAAAGATGGAGAAGCAGATGCTGGGAAAAAGAGTCTGTGATACAAACACTGCCTTGGCTCTGAAGCTTGGAGGAGCCCTGCCACTTGTTTTGTTGAGAGGTGTCTTTTCCCCACCAAGGGGCTGGGATTTGGGGGGGAGTGCCTCATCTCCTCTGGGTCCTGGAAGTGGAATGCCCTATGGATTATCACCATTCATGTGGTGTCCCAGAGCCAACTGATACAGGACCAGAATCATTTAGGTTGGAAAAGTCTTCCAAGATCATGGAGTCCACCACTAAATCATGTCCCCAAGTGCCACATCCATGGCTTTTAAATACCTTCAGGATAGGCAGCCTGTGCCAGGGCTGGAGAACCCTTTGCATGAAGAATTTTCCCTAATACCACCCTAAACCTCTCCTGGCACACCCTGAGGCCATTTCCTCTCGTTCCCTGGGAACAGAGCCTGACCCCCACCTGGCTGCACCCTCCTCCCATGGAGCTGTAGAAACTGCAGGACTGAAAAAGGGCCAAACTCCAAATACCCCAGGAAGATGTTTTTCCCTGAAATCCCTCAGCTGGCTCCTGAGGATCCATCCCAGAGCTCCCAGCCTTGCTCCATGCAGCTCACAGAGAACATTTAAACCATTAATAAATCTGTGGGACTTGTTTTTCCCTCTCTGTCCCAGTTGTGAGCCACAGGGCCAGGGCTGGACCCTCCCTGCAGGGCTGCCCTGTGCAGCACCGACGGCGTTAATTAAGATGAAGCATTAAGAGAATGTTGTCTGCCTCGTTAATTCTGTTAAATGCAGCTCCCAGAGGAAGAGCTCACAATTGGTGCTGCACATTTCCTCCACCAATCAAGGCTGATGATCCAGAGAAGCATGAGCTCCATGGGCTGAGCACTCTGCTTTTATTTATGTATGGACACGGCTGCCCCGGGAGCTCCAGGACCCGCAGGGCAGCTCCTGCCTCCTTGGGGCTGGGGCACATCCTGGTGGGAGCTGTCACAGCCAAAACAACCAAAGATTCCTCCTAAAGCAGGGAATGAGCTCTAGGCTGAGGGATCAGAGCAGAGAGGTGCAGTTTGACTTCTCCCTACTCTTCCTGGTACCAGCCAACATCAATTATTTTCAACTGAAGAACTTGTTTAAAATCAAACAGCCACCTAAGCTTTGGCCTCAAAATGGTTTTGGGCAGATTTGGAGAAAGGTGAAGGCAGTGAGAGGTGCCAGCAGCTCTGGGTCACCTTTTGACATGCCACAGACCACACTGGGTTAGAGGAGAGCAGGAGACTGAGCTTACCTGCCCACAGATCCAATCATGAAATAACCACACCTGGATTTACACCCTGTGTCCTCAGGTGCCACATCCTCATGGCTTTTAAATCCCTCCAGGGATGGGAACTCCACCCCTGCCCTGGGCAGCTGTGCCAGGGCTGGACAACCCTTTCTGTGAAGGAATTGTCCCCAATATCCAACCTAACCCTCCCCTGGTGCAACCCCTGTTCCCTCCTGTCCCTGATCCCTGGGAGCAGAGCCCGACCCCCACCTGGCCCCAGGGAGTTGTTGACAACAACAAGGTCCCTCCTGAGCCTCCTTGTCTCCAGATTTGCAGGACATTTTGCATTCCCAGCATCACTGAGGAAAGGATGGATGAAGGGAAAGCAGCACCTTTCCCTTCCCCTGCAGCCACAAGTCACACTTCTTGTCTCATTTAGCCTCTACCAGGTTTTCTGCTTTAACCACCCACAAATTCTGTGCAAGTCTCTCCCAGGCTGAGCTGTCCCTCCATTCCCTTGCTGTGGTTTGTTCTGTGTCCCATCCCTGTTTTTCCCATCCCTAATGATAAGCCAGGACTCCCTGTGCCATCACCACTGCACCACCAGACATTTCTTTTCCTATTTTTGCAGGACACAATAAATCCCCCAGGATAAAGAAACTTCAAACCATGATGGTGAGGAAAATATTGTCTCCGCGTGGAAGGAAGAGAAAGGGAATCCAAACTACAAGGGGAACAGGGTGACCTGAGCAAACAAGGGCTGTGAAACACTGAACAAGGAACATGGGAGGTGGATGAAATGACCCAGCTCCACCAGCCAAACCCAGCCTGGAAGCTTTCTAGAGGTGTGATGGGAACTTGCACTGGGTTTGTCCTAGTTTGAAACCCCAGCCTGGGGCTGTCCCAGCACTCAGGGAACAGAGGTGACCTGGGGAGCCACGATACCTGTGGAACAGTCCATCTGGATCAAGTGGGAATCACTGTCAGTTTTCATTTTTTTAGCACTGTTCTCTGAGGTAGAAGTGACAAGTAAAGATAAAGAAACTTCAAACCTGGATAAAGAAACCTCAAACCAGGATGGTGAGGAAAATATTGTCTCCACATGGAAGGAAGAGAAAGGGAATCCAAACTAAAAGAGGAACAGGGTGACCTGAGCAAACAAGGGCTGTGAAACACTGAACAAGGAACATGGGAGGGGGATGAAATGACCCAGCTCCACCAGCCAAACCCAGTCTGGAAGCTTTCTAGAGAACTAGAACTTTCTAGATGGGAACTTGGCACTGGATTTGTCCTGGTTTGAAACCCCAGCCTGGGGCTGTCCCAACACTCAGGGAACAGAGGTGACCTGGGGAGCCACGATACCTGTGGAACAGTCCATCTGGATCAAGTGGGAATCACTGTCAGTTTTCATTTTTTTAGCACTGTTCTCTGAGGTAGAAGTGACAAGTAAGTTTGTAGCAGAAAAATAGGGTGGCTGCAGGGAGCCCTGGTCCATGCAGTCCATTTTCCTTTTCAGAGAAGACATGGTGATGGAGGAGGGCACCAGGCTCTCCGAGGAGTGAGCCCTGCCCAGCAGGTTGGTGCCAGGGATGCTGTGCTGCAGCAGGAAGTGGTCTATCCTGGCCTTGAGGGTGGGGTGAGGTAGGGGCTGGGAGTGCTGGCTGAAGGCCACGCCCGTGAAGGGATCGCTGGGGACGCGGCCCCAGGACGCCTCGCTGCGGTTGCACTTCTCCAGGGTGCTCTGGTCAATCACCTTCCCAGAGGGCAGGAGCATGGGTAAAGTCATGATCTCCAGGGTGATGGGGTCCAGGAATTCTTCAGGGATGTCTTGGACAACGTCCACCAGCTTGTGCAGGGTCTGCTGCTCGTTGGCGCTGAAGGGGACGCAGTCGCTCTCCATCGGCGTCCAGAGCTCTGGCTTGAGGCTGCCCACGTCCTGGGCCAGGAACTGGGAGGCCACCTGGAAAACCCCCTCGATGACCTCCTGTGGGCAGGACTTGGCAGGTTGTCCCCACACCTCCAGCCTCTTGATGCTGGGCAGGCCCCCCCCGGCCACGTGGGTGATGCAGATTTTGAGGTGGGACACGTTGCTGAGCGAGGCCGGCCCTTTGTTCCAGAGATCCTGGGACACCGAGCCGGGGTAGGAGAAGACATTTTCCATCTGATGGAAGGGAGGCCTTGGCTTGAAGCCTCTGTGGCCAAAAGTCACTTTGCTCTGATTTTTTAAGACAGCTTTGCCCACCAGGGTGAAGGTGTCCTTGTCCGACACAGGCTGCAGACCTGAGCACTGCCCCTCAGGGCTCTGCCAAGAGGTTTTGTTGCATGAGGTAGAGGTGTAAATTTCCAGGCCAGAGAAGGTCTGGTAGCCCCCAGAGGAGATGTCAATGTTGATCCTGCAGATCTCCACGTTGAAGGGGAAGGAGATGGTGACGTGCACCGGGGGTTTGATGAAGTACTCGCTGCGGAAGCCGCGGTTCCTCCTGGCCAGGTCCTCGGAGATCAGGTTCTCCACCTCGTAGCCATCGGCAGAGATCTGTGTGCCAGACCAAAACTGGGGTCAGGGTGGAGCAAGGAAACACAAGGAAGGCAATTTCACTTCCAGAGATTCTCAGGATGACATCGACCAGGAGCCAAGGCTGAGGTTTACCCTGCTGTAAGGCAGAGCAGACCCACCACTCCTTCCACTCCCCCCCTCCTCCATCCCCTCTGTGTCCATGGGCAGACCTGACTTAACTGCTGGAAGAGTGGAAAATTAGGGATAATTTGTGGTTTTGGCTGGGTCAGTGAGATAAACCAAGGAGGAGAGGGTGGCTGGGAGCAGAGGATGAGTGTCTCTCCTCTTCCAGTCTCCCTTTTCATGTGGGAGTCTCCTGATTTCCTTTGTGCCTACTTATCCACGTGGAAATGCACTTGGAATCACAGTTACAGGGTCCCAGAGGAACTCTGGATGTTAATCAGCCTCTGGGAGCCACCCAGCCATCCCTGAGGGAGATCCATCAATCCAGGCTGGGTCTGGTTTGGAACATCCCATCCCACCCTCTGCTCTGCTCCTGGGCAGCCTGGTTCAATCCATTCCCTCTCCTGGATGCACCAGGCCCTGAGAAATCTGCTGCACTTGCTGAATGGACAAATAAAAATGAGGAAAATCTATTTATTCTACCTGTTTAATATGGTCTTGATCATGACAATCACACCAAACCTCTGTGACATGGCTGGGTCTCTCCACAACAAATTCCAGCAGCACAGTATTTACAAAGCCAAGGCTGTCCTGGATTTTGGTGTGGAAACTTACAACTAAAAACCAGATTTGAATGAAAACTGAGTTTCTTAAAGAGATTCTGATGTGCTGAGTGAAACCAGAACTACTTGGAAAGTAACTTCACCGAGTTATCATTTCACAATTTCACATTAATTGACAATTTCACATTATCAAAAGCTGTGAGTTCCAATGGGCAGAGAGAAAGCTGGAATATTGCAGGAGAAAGGGATCCCAAGTCAAATAACTTATACCTGGAAGCACATCATGCTGTCTGGTTAGGAGATCCTGCAAAATTGGGGCTTTTCCCTCCAGTATTTAGTGTGTGCCACATCAGAGCAGTGATGCTGATTATCCCAGAGGAGCAGTGAACCAGCTCCCCCCCAGGATAATTCCATTTAATCCCTGCATCCCTCCCACTCCCCCAAACCCCCTCCTCACTGTTTTACCTTGTTGCAGTGAATTCTTGGCTTGAACTGTGGGAGACAGACGTTTATTACCATCTTGGCAGCTGGAGAGAGGTCACTTGCTGAGCATCAGAGTCAGCTTGGAAGAAAAGAAATTAAAAATAAAGGAAGTGAATATCCATGAGCAGTGAAAGGATCTTGTGTTTTGGGTGAGTTACAGGCTTGGGATTTCCTAAAATGCAGCTCAGATCTGAGTCCAGGAGGTGAAGCCAATATAAACCCAAATGAATGTGGTAGAGAGATGAGATTGAGGGGAAAAAAATCACATTAATATTAATTAGTGAACCTGGGGAGAAAAAGCAAAAAGCAAATGGCTATTTTAATTAAAACCACCTATGAACAGACCAGCAATTACACCTGAAGGTTTATCAAAGATGCAGGAGTTCTGTAGGTGTAGAAAACACCAGCAGAGCACAGGAGGCTGTCACAGTGAGTCAAGATTAATCACAAATATTAATAATTAGTGTTAAATAACTCCAAGGGAGCAGAGGGCATGGAATAGCTCTGAGGGAGATGTCAACACCAAATCCTTCTGCCAGCATTCATTAAAGAAACTGAACACACCTCCTTTCCCATTGAAAAAAAAAAAAAGTGACTGGAATTGGCTGTCTCAGATCTCTTTTAAGAATGAAATTATCTGTGAGGTGAGAGCTTTAACCTCATGTTAACCCCAGCTTTAAAATGCCACTGCCCTGGGCAACCTTGCAAATCAGGGACTCGCTGCCTCCTTCAAGAACAAGCAGCTCTTTAATGATTTCCCACTGATCTCTTGGTTCAGCCCAAATCAAATTGGCCTTCTGGGGGCAGAGTTAATGAGCTCCCTGTGCTGCATCTGCAAGGAGAAAGGTGGAATTCAAAGCACAAATCCAAAAAAAATACCCAACCCAACATGGAATTGACACCTGCAGAGAGCAGGGCTTGGTTACAGTGCCTTGAAAATGAAGCAGGTGGGAACTTTACAAGAGGAACAGGCACTTCTATCCCAAAATTTGGTCTGGCAGCCATCAGGGGCAATTCCTGCTCCTCAAGGGGCAGGACAAGCACACACCAACTCTCCTCCAACATTTCCTTCCTGGTTTTCTGAGCCTGAGAGGTTTCCAGAACTGGGTTGCCAGTGGGGAATTGCTTAACCTGGTCTGACTTTTGGAACTCACACCTTGTAGGAGACTGAGTTCAACTACAGGCTGTGCCTCAAAGCTGCTCTTTTTTCCTCATTTTGAACCAAAATTGGAAAATTCACTTGGCCCTCAGCACTGGTGTTATGAAAAGTGGCAAACCAACTCTGCTTGCTCCCTTCCTTGGGAAAACTCAAGATTCTTCCCCTCTTCTATCTCTCTGTTTCCTGGGCTGAAACTGCAACATGAGGAGCTCTGTATGGGTATTTTATAGGATTTTTCCTGTTCGTGACCTTGAGAGACTTAACTCAGGTTAACTTTTCCAGTCTCAATACCTCAGTAAGAAAATGATTTATTTTCTTCATATTTTCTTCTATTTTTTCACTGCACTCCCTTCTGGTGAAAGACTTTGCTATAAATCTCATGGCTAAAGCTGAGTCACTGAGTTGCTTTAACCCATGGCTGGGTTTTTTTCCTCTCTCTCTTCAGTGTGTGCCTTCCCTAAGGTGAACAAAGATCTTTGGACTGAAGCTTTGAAATACAGACCTGAAAAAAATCCTCAGTGGTTTTGGACAAGGAATTTTAAACCAGACTGTCTGGGGTTTGTCACCACAACTCTTCCTGGTGTCCTGCGTGGGATTATGGAGCTGCTGCATTGTGGACATCAAATAAAGTCCTTGGAGCATGAAATGAATGTCCTGAGGTCAGAGCACCCCAAGCCTCAGTCCCACTTGGTGTTCACATTCCATCCTAAAGGAGAAACCCAGCCCCAGCCCCATGGGGATGGAAACAGCTCTGTGTGTGCTCCTGGCACCCAGCTCAGCCTCATGACTAAATATCCCAGCCCCAAATCCAACCACTCTCGTTTAGGGCGGTGAAAGAAGCAATCACAAAGCAAAATGAATCATTAGGAACTTTTATTTGCGGTGGAAGCATTTGATGATCCAGGTACAAAAGAACAGCATGGGAAGTACAGAGCAGAAATGGCCACACAGAACACAACTGAGCCAACACTCAGAGACCATTTTATCCAGCACCCAGGCACAGAGATGCACTGGGGAGGCTCTTTCCCCCACTAGGCAGCCCTGGTGAGCAGGGCTGGGCTGAAGACTTTGTAGTGGAGGTAGCTGAGCTTCTCGGAGCGCGTGCGCCTGAGCAGAGGGAACCACTCCCAGAAGGGAAGCTCCACCACGGCGTAGCCCAGCAGCCGCAGCTGCCGCCGCTTCAGGCAGTGCAGCCCCAGCAGCCGCCTGGAGCCGTAGCAGAAGTGGTTCCTGTTGGACACCTGCAGGGCCAGCCTCACCTCCCCAGGCTGCCAGAGCCCTGCTTTAGGCTCAGCCTGGGATGTGGCACCTGCAGGAAGGGCTCCACCCATATACGTTGTGTCCCCTCTCTCCTGGCTGGGAATCCTGGATTCATTCCCCACCTCTGTGGGACTCTGGTTATGAACTCTCCCCTGTATGAGCTGAGACATTAAATCATCTGTCAGATTAACTCCCATGTCTCTCAGCTTCTTGGTTGCCACAGGATCCTTGAAGTTGAAAGGGATGGGACGTCCATCCGTGGACAAACGCACCTCCAGGTCGCTGGACCTGGTGTGGGGCAGGATCATGTGGTTCTTCACATACTCAGGGCCTCCCAACATGCTCTCCAGGAGGGATGTGGCTTCCACAATTTCAGGCCTGACGTAGATTTCCCTCTCCGCAAAACTTGAGACCATCTCAGTGAACTCCTGACAAAGCTGAGGTGTGAGGTGGCTGCCTTGGTAGGTGGGGCACTCGATTTCAACGCTCTTACCAAGGGTGAACAGGTCCTTGTTGAGCTCATATTTGCTACCTCTGGTTTTCTGGACAAACTCCTCCCTCAAAGCAAAGTCTATCAGCTCCTCTGGGAAGCGTTTGACAAAAGCTAAGCCAAGCAGAGCAGTAAGGAGATGCTCTGGAAACTTGCTAAACTCATGGAGTTTTGCATGCAATTGCTTTATCAGGCTGGAGTAAAACTCCTCCTCGTTGGGAGGTTCATAGTCCAGGCACCCAAACGACCACAGGAATTTGGCAGCGTCCTTGCTCCGGCAGTAGGACACCTTGGAAGGCAACGAGGTGGCAACAGCAGCCAAAACATCCTCATCAAAGAAGTGCAGGGATGAGTAGGTGAGAGTGATGTGCATGATGCCCTGGATGTTTGTGGCAGGGATCCGAGCAGGAATGACCCTGCCCAGCTCCCTCATCAGGGGCAGGTGGTCCATGCGCGTGTAGCGCAGCATCTTGAGCACGTTCACCAAGGCGTAGGTGCTCATGTCCTCCATCTGCAGGGCCACCCTGTCTGCAATCCTCCTCATGACGTGCTCAGAAATCCCACTGAGGGATTTGAAGAGCCCCAAGCAGATGGCACCCAGCTCCTCCAAGGTGAAGGTGTCCAAGTGCTTCAGGATGGTGCTCTCCACCTTCTGCGCCAAGTCCGCGGGCGACCTCCGGCCTTCGCCGATGATGTAGAGGAGCTGCACAAACTGGGGCAGGGTGAGGTCCTTCCAGTGCAGGTTGGCATAGCTGAACAGGATGCCCAGGTAGGAGGGCACGCTGCGGTCCAGGCAGCGCCAGCAATCCGCCACCAGCAGCAGCTGCTCCAGGCCCGTGTCCCACGCCCGGCGGCAGAACTCGGCCTCGCACGCGTTGAGCAGGGGGTGGGAGGCTGGCACGGCCAAGGGGACACAAGCCTTTAAAATGAGGATGAGATCTGGGGTGCTGAACAGCCTGATGGCCGTGACAGCTCGGTGACACAGGGCACTGAACCTGGCATCGGACCCCAGCGCCGCGCGGCGCTCCGCCGGCAAACGGCTCAGCTGGAGGAAATAATCCCTGAGAGCCACAGGGCTGCCCTCACAGCCTGCCACACTCTGTAAAATCCTGTCCCCTTCCTCTGCAGGGAGGGGCTGTGCTGGCTCAGCGCCGTCACAGGTGAGAGCTCTGTACTCAGGCCTGCCCTTCTGGAACGTGCGCGGGTCCTCCTTGGAGTCGTGCGCTTCCCGCTTCTCCCTCTCTGCTTCCTCCTTGTACAGCCTGCTCTGCTCCAGGAGCGTGCTGGCCTTGGGCAGGGCACTCCTGCCAGGTGACAAAGCTTGGGAAGAGGCAGTGGGGAATGTCAGTGGAGCCTGTGCAGTGCCAGGGCTGGTGAACGTGTCACCCAGGGCCTGGCTGCTGTCCCTATCCCCGTGCTGCTGGGAGCCAGCCCTGCCTTTGGCATAGGCAGCTGGATTGTACAGCACTCTGTAGTCCTGGGGCTTCAGCAGCTGGATTGTGGCCCCTGAGTGAGTCCCAGTCTTGGCTGCTCCTGGTTTATCTCTCTTTTCCTTCTTGCTTTTGCTGCTCCCACGCTTGGCTGTGGTGGAAATCGCTGTCACCCTGCTCAGCCTGGGCAATCTTCGGCACATTAGCACCGTAGCCATGGGTCTCAACTTAGTGGGGCTCAGAGCTGCTTCCAGGTACTGAAAAAAGGGCAGACGGAGAGTCAGTGGCCTCCACTGAAATAGGAGTCTCCTTGAGCCAGCTCTCATAAGCTCTTGGAGATCTATTTCACACCCAAGAGAACTCAGCTACCTCAGAAGGCATAAAATCAGCAGGATGGCTTCTGTGGCATTGTTGGAAATAAAGAAGTTTTAATAAAAGGCAAAATAACAAAACTCTTTACAGAGAAAAACCGATCCAGGTGCAAGAGGCCCTCCTGTCCCTGGTCAAACACCTCACAAAAGTGATTATTTCCTTTTGTTCTCTTCTTTTTCTAATAAATTGCTCAGGCAGGACTTTTTGGCTCCTGTCCAATTGGCTATCCTTAAGTTTGAGGTGAAGTCCCCAAAGTCCTATAAGATGCCTTTTTCACCTAATGGAAGAGAGAAACTTCTAAGCTTATTTGCTTTTTAAGGAGACAAAAGACAGTTTTGTCACTCCATCCACAAAGGGCACAGTCCTACACTGCACCTCACAGGCAGCACCTTTTAATCAATCCTTTAGGGAGGTGGCACTGGTCAGGACAGCTGGGTCCCTCAAAGCCACCATGGAATGTCACCTCATGCAAAGGCAGCTCAGGATGAGCACCCAGGAGAGCTGGGCTTGGAGCAGAAGGCAGCCAGGCATGATGTGCTACTCAGCAGACACAAGAAACCTGGCACAGACTAGGAAAGTTAAGAAAAAAAAATAAAAAATTTCATGTTTAAGAGAGCCAAGCTGCTTTTCTTTCATTCTGAACAATGAAAATGTGTTTTTGCAGAAGAGCTGCAGCTTCAAGAGGTTTTGTGTGTTCAGACAGAGCATTCTGCTGCTTTGGTCATCATGGTCTGAATCACTGACCACCACCTCAGAAGTTGTCCAAATATCCAGGGTGCCACACTGCCCTATACACCTGGAGACAGAATGTGGAGCAAAATCTCCACAGAAGCAGAGCAGAGAGTGAACTCTGGCCCAGAACTTGCAGATGGAGGTTGGAGGAATGAAGAAATGTGGGAGAAGAGCAGGGGAGAAGTAACACAAAATCATTACGTGATGCTACATCCCAGGAGCAGAGATTTAAGCTTCAGATTTGAGAGCATTTCCAAGAGTTTTAGGGTACAGGAGGTTTTAAAAATGGCTGGTGCCTTCCTAACTCCTGCCTGAAACAGCTACAGCTCGGAGGGTGAGGATGAGAAATCCGTGGGAGTCCAGCTGGGTGCTGCCAGCCTGCACTGAGCCCTGTTTACCACCCTTCAGATGCTGATTAAAAAAATAAAATAAAGCATCAGGTGTCAGATTTTTCCCCCAAATCCTTATCCCAGCCAAAAAAAACACCCAAAAACCATCAGTCCCACATGGAGCTGGGCAATCAGGAAAGGCAAAGCCTGGCAGAGATGCTCCCACTGCAAAACATTTTGTGCTCCCCACACAACTGGAGATGAATCCTCAGGGACAGCCCAGGGAGCTCTGCTGGTATCCACAGCTTCCTGAGCAGGGATGGAGCAAGATTTGGCATCAGTGCAGGCAAATTCAGTTTTGCAGCAGCAAAAAGGGCACTTTGGGGCACAACAGGAGGGTTTGGGGTGTGTGAGCAGCATAAACTGGGCTTTTTTTGATGTGTAAGGATCCCCACATCCCCCATGATCCAGGGACAGCTTCCACTACCCCAGGTTGCTCCAAGCCCTGCTCAACCTGGCCTTGGACACATCCAGGGATGGGACGTCCACTGCTTCTCTGTGCCACTGAAGAAATGAGGACATTTTGCATCCTCTGCTCCTTGGGCAGAGCTTGGAGGCAGCAAACAGCAGCCAAGAGGGAGGAGAAGCTGCTGGAGCAGAAACCACCCCAGCAGAGAGGTGAAAAGCCCAGGTGGGCTGGGGGGAAGGAAAGGCAAACTGAAATGTGGATTTGTGGGGAGAGCCATGCAAGGAGGAGGCTACAAGAGAGGCCAATGTGGTTTTAGGGTGATCTGTAAATACTGTGAGCTGCTCAACAACACACTGGGCACCTGATCTGTATCTCCAAACCCCCTGAGGCAGCCGCAGGAGCAGATCAGGCTCTGTCCCACAGCCCCCAGGCTGCTCCAAGGCTGTGACTGTCCCATCCCAGCACGAGGAGTCAAATCCTGCCTGGCTCTGCCCCTTCCTGCCTGTCTGAGGGGCAGGGAATGGAAAAGCCTCCTCAGAAGCTGGACAGGGAACACAAACCAAGAATTTCAAAGTTCTCCTGCTCAGCTCAAGGAATGTCTGATGAAATGATCATTCCTGGCTCTCCTGGCTGTGGTGTCCAGCCCAAAGGGGCCTCATGTGACAGATGCTGCAGACAGGGGACAAAGCTCAGACAGCATCTGCCTGGAGGAAGGAGAAATCCCTCCAACATCTCCTCCTGCAGCACCTCACACAGCCTGGACCATTAGAGAGGCTGGATCAAGCTCCAAAAATCATCTTGAACAAGAGGAGGTTGATCCAGGTGAGCCTTTCCCAGAGATTTCCTTATCTGACTCGACTTCTGAGTATTTTTATCCATTTTTCTCCTAACAAACCCCAGGTTATTGATATAAACCAACTCCTCCCTGCTGGGAAAGGTGATTTTCCCAGGAGATCCAGCCCTGCTGCTCCCAGAGCCCCTCCCAGCAGCAACAGCCCCAGTTCAAAGGCAGGGAATCAATCAAAGGCCTGGGGAAGGCTCTGAATGTGCTGCTAAGAATATCCTGCAGGGACTGACTGTGGAGCTGTGACACACTTGGGAATCCAGGCAGTGCAGAGGCTGCTCCTCTCCTCCTTTGCTCCAAATCCAGCCAAAAAGAGAAGACCAGACACAGCTGAGCCAGGCTGGGATGGGACAAGACAGTTCCAAGCACCCTCAAAGGCAATGGGGCTGCTCCAAGTGGTTTTTCCATGGGCAAATCTTTGTGATCTTTCCAGTTTCCAGCCCATTTCTCTTTCAGCTCCACCCACACCTTCCATGGATTTACCTCTTTTCACCTTGAGCAATTTTTCCATTTTTGCTTTTCCTTTCCTTTCGTTTCCTTTAAATTTCCTTTCCTTGAAATTTCCTTGAAATTTCCTTTCCTTTCCTTGAAAGTTCCTTTCCTTGATATTTCCTTTCCTTGAAATTTCCTTTCCTTTCCTTGAAATTTCCTTTCCCCTTTCCTTTCCTTGAAATTTCCTTGAAATTTCTTTTCCTTTCCTTGAAATTCCCTTCCCTTCCCTTCCCTTCCCCTTCCCCTTCCCTTTATTTTTATAGGTTGTTAATTTTTTTTGTGGGAGCATAGTTGTTTTTGGATTTTTTGTAGCTTTGACTTTAAAATTTTAAAGTCCAAGCTAAATTTTAAAATTTCAAATTTTGTTGGCTTCAAGTCTCCCTCCCCAGGTATTTTTTGTTAAAGGCTTTAGGATAAACTATGGTTGTTGGTTGTAGAGTAGATTTTTTATATTTGATTTTGTTTTGATTGGGTTAAGGGTTATTGTATGAATGATTTTTTTGTTTGATTTGGGTAAAGGTTTGTTGTTGTTTAGGGTTTGAGTGGAAAGTGGTTTTTTATGGGTAATTAAGTTTACAATTTGGTTGTATTTAGGAATGTGTATTCCTTTCCTTTCCTTCCTCCTCCCACCTCACATCCCAACTCCTCCCCAGCTCTGGGCAGGTCTGTGCAGAATTTTCCCTTCCAGCAGCCCCAAGGAGCCCAGGGAATTCTGGAGCTGGGCCCAGCAGGCTGGGAATGCCCCTGGAGGAGCTGCTCAGGCATGGGAACACCATGTTTAGGTGTCACAGCTGGAAAAGAACATTCCCAGGGGAATGGCACCCAGCCAGGGGCTCAGCCCTGTGCAAGGGGGGGGTTGGTGCATCCCAAAAATGCTGTCAGAGCTTCTGGAACACTCTGAGGGGTTTTTGGAAGCCTGTGCTTCCAGAGGGAAGCTCCTCAGGATGTGTGAGGAGTGAACAGGGGATGAATGTTGGGGATAAAGCAGCTCCTTTTGGCCAAGAGCCTGAGTGAACCCCTGGGCTGGGCTGGACAGGGGAAGAACACAAAAGGGATTTTATTTCCCCAAAAGGTTGTGATGTCAGGGCACAAAATTGTCACTTTTTGGGTTGTTTGTGCTTTTTCCTTCTCTTCTGAATGGTTTGGGTGGGAAGGGATTTAAAGGGAACATTTAAAGGATTTAAAGATCATCTCATTCCATCCCCTGCCATGGCCAGGGACACCTCCCACTGTCCCATCCAACCAGGCCTTGGGCACTGCCAGGGATCCAGGGGCAGCCACAGCTGCTCTGGGCACCTGTGCCAGGGCCTGCCCACCCTCACAGAGAACAATTCCTAATTCTCAATATCCTAAACAAATCTCCCCCTTTTCAATCTGAAGCCATTCCCTGTGTCCTGTCCCTCCATCCCTTGTCCCCAGTCCCTCTCCAGCTCTCCTGGAGCCCCTTTAGGCCCTGCAAGGGGCTCTGAAATCCCCCCTGGAGCTTTCCCCTCTCCAGGTGAGCACCCCCAGCTCTCCCAGCCTGGCCCCAGAGCAGAGGGGCTCCAGCCCTGGAGCATTTTTGTGCAATTCCCTTCTCCCAGGGCAAGGCTGGAAGCCCCAGCCCCATTATTCACCCCTATGGCTGCAGCTACAGACACATAACACACAAACACACACACAAACACAAACACACACACACAGATGTACACATACACACATCACAGAATGATGAGGTTGGAAGAGACCTCTCAGATCATCCAGTCCAACCCATGCCCTCACACCTCACCCAGACTACAGCACCAAGTGCCATGGCCAGGCTTTTTTAAACACATCCAGAGATGGTGATTCTACCACCTCTCTGAGAAGAGCATCCCAGTACTTTATTATTCTTTTGGTGAAAAATTTGTTCCTAATATCCAACCTGTCTCTTCCCTGAGGTAGCTGGAGGTTGTGTCCTCTGGTTTTGTCAGAGACCGATCCCAGCTGCCCAAACCTCCCTTCAGGAAGGTGTAGAGAGCAATGAGGGCACCTCTGAGCCTCCATTTCTCCAGGCTGAACAACCCCAGCTCCTTCACACGCTCCTCTAAAACAAATGCCTACAGCCCCCGGGATTCCCAGGCGGTCTCCCATCCACGTACTGCCCGGGCCCGACCCTGCTTAGCTTCCGAGATCGGGCGCTCTCAGGGTGCTATGGCCATGGGCAATACACCTATATAAATATACACCTATATAAATATACACCTATATAAATGTACACCTATATAAATATACACCTATAGGTATGTGGGGCCATGCAGCCCAGGGCAGGACGCGGCTGAGGGGGTGGCTCGAGGAAAGGGAAGGGGGATGAGCAGGGGAAGGGAACGGGCACGGAAGGGGCCGGGACTCACCGGGGCCGCTCCGGCGCCACCGCCGCCTCCTCCTCCTGCCCCCTTCGCCTCCTCCCGCCGCTTCCGGTCGCGCAGCGGTGACGCCACTTCCGGTTCCCGGCGCGGGCGCGCGCGCGGCCGGCGGGTGGCGCCAGTGGCGCGTGCCCCCGTCCCCTAATGGTCACATGATGCCAAAAGATCATGTGACAGCACAGAGTCACGTGGAGCACAGTGGGCGCCGCCATGACAGGCCTGGGGCAGCTCTGAGCCCCCGGACCCTCGGACCACCCAGAGAAGCTGTGGCTGCCCCTGGAGCCCTGGTAGTGTCCAAGACCAGGCTGGATGGGCTTGGAGCAGCCTGCAATAGTGGAAGGTGTCCCTGCCATGGCAGGGGGTGGATTGAGGGTCTTTGAGGGCCCTTCTCACCCACAGCGTTGCGTGGCTTGTGGCATTGACCTTTTCTGGAAAATCCCTTCACCCAGGGTTTTTCACCTGGGAAGCTGAGAAGCCTCAGAGAAAAATGAAAACAATATTATCTCATTTGCTTCTCCTGTGTTGTGCTCCTTTGGAATGTGTTTGGAGATTATTTACCCACAGGTGATTGTTTCATTGGTTTCATGTGAATTGTTTTCACTCATTGGCCAATCGGGGCCAAGCTGTATCAAGACTCGGGAAAGAGTCAGGAGTTTTCATTATTATCTTTTTAGCCTTCTGTAAGTATCCTTTCTGTATTCTTTAGTATAGTTTAGTATAGCATTCTTTAATATAAAATAGTATCATAAAGCAATAAATTAGCGTTCTGAGAACATGGAGTCAGATTCATCATTCCTTCCTTTGTCTGGGGGCAACCCAAATACAACAGTGGCTCTGTGAGGCTGTGGTTACAGAACACAGAAACTTGCTGGGTACCTGCACACCCAGGGATGTCCTTTCTGTGTCCCCAGTGTGAAAAATGCATATTTTATGATTGGCTTTTCGCAAATATGAAAATGAGTATTATATGTGATGTGTTAGAAAGACCAGCCAGAATCCTGTGTTTGAATGGAATTTATGCATCATGTATGAGATGCATGAATATGCAACAGGCTGTTGCTTTTAAGGGTTAATCCTCTGTTAATGTGGGTCCTTTTTTGGCTTATTTTGTCCAGAAAGAGGTACCTGGACTGTCCATAACTCTTTGTTTTTATTGTCTCATATTGTCCTAACCCTAATTGTCCGAATTATTATGACTCCAATTATATTGCTATTATAATAACCATTTTATTACTATTAAACTTTTAAAATTTTAAAAACAAGTGGTTGGCGTTTTTCACACCAGGGAGGCACCAGCCCTGTGCTGGTGTGCGCTGGGGCTGTGTGGGGGGCTCTGTGTGAGCTGACACCCATCACTGCTGTTGTCCTGAGGGAACAGGAGGATTCTGGAGCTGTGGAGCCCTGCCCTGAGCTCCTGCCCAAGCAGAGCACCCACAGTCCCTTGGCCAGGGTTGTGTCCTCACAGATTTTGAGTATTTCCAACAGTCACGGCTCCACTGCTGCCAGAAATCTTCCTCCTGCCCACTGCAGGCTTTCAGCACTGGCAAATTATTTAAATATTGCCTTGAGCCTTGCTTAGCACTTGATATTTCCACCAGCTTTGCTTCCTCTCCACCTCTTCCTTCAGATGAGGTTTTGTGCCCTGGCAAGGGAGGAAATGCCGTTTTCTGGAAGAAATGCCCTTTTCAGGAGGAATTGCCATTTCCAGGAAGAAATGGCATTTCCAGGAAGAATTGCCGTTTTCAGGAGGAAATGCTGTTTTCAGGAGGCCCCAGGGCTCTGGAGAAGAGCCACGCTGGCTGATGGCACCTCAGGCTCTAAACCTGAGGAACCTCATGGAATCCCTGGCTCACCTCTGTCACCAGAGGGCAGGAAACCTCTCTGATAAAGCTGCTGCCATGGGGAAAAGTGCTGGAATTGCTGGGGTTTTAAAGAAAAACAACGATTATCTGTTGATTTTAGTGATGCTGACAGAGTTGGGTGGGATTGATTTGAGTAGGAGTTTTGGACTTGGTGTTTCCTCCCTGGTTATAAGGGAAGGTGGATGGACCTTGGCCTGGGGGCTGCATCCAAATTCTCACTCCCAAAATCTGAGATTCAACACGAATTTGGTGCATTTTTAGTTTGTTCCACTCCTTCAGCCACGTGCTGGGGAAATCAAGGAACCCCCAGAGATGCTCCACTGGGAGATGTGGCTTTTCCAGGAGAGGGAAGGGGAATTGCCTCCCCACCTCTGCAGCTGGATTGGAATGTGCTGATTCACCCAGGGTGAAGGTTTCCCCCCACAACTCCCCATCCCAGCTGCGGATCCATCCCAAAATCCCCCTGGTTCTCCCTCCTTGTCCCAGCTGTGGATCCATCCCCTCAAATCCCCCTGTATCTCCCCAATTCTCCCAACTGTGGATTCATCTCAAAATCCCCCTGGTTCTCCCCAATTCTCCCAACTGTGGATTCATCTCAAAATCCCCCTGGTTCTCCCTCCTTCTCCCTTTGGTGGATCCATCCCAAATCCATCTGGTTCTTCCAGCTGTGGATCCATCCCAAAATCCCCCTGCTTCTCTCTCCTCCTCCCAGCTGTGGATCCATTCTCAAATCCTCCTGGTTCTCCCAGCTGTGGATCCATCCCCAAAATCCCCCTGGTTCTCCCCAATTCTCCCAGCAGTGGATCCATCCCAAAATCCCCCTGGTTCTCCCCAATTCTCCCAGCTGTGGATCCATCCCCAAATCCTCCTGGTTCTGTTCCTTTCTCCCAGCAGTGGATCGACCCCCAAATTTCCCCTGATTCTCCCAAATTCTCCCAGCTGTGACACAAACAAACCACACAGTCCTGTTTTTAAAACGGGGCCTTTCTCCATTTTATTTTGCCCAATAAAAATCCTTCACAGTCAGCTGGAGAGAGGAGAGCTGGAGATACGTATACATATAGATCTGCATGTCTATTTATATATATACATACCTCTGTACAGATATATTTATATATTTATTCACTGTAGAAAATGGCAAAGGCAGGAGCTCTTCACATCTGGATAACCCAATGGGAACAGACAACAAGCCAGCAGGGAGTTGGGAATTGTGGTGGAGTTTTAACAAGAACCTCTGAAACAGATACACCTTTGCTGTACAAAAATCCCAGAATGGTGAGTGTTACCTCTTTTTTCTTTTTATTTAAATTTTTTTTCTTTTTTTTTTTTTTTTTTTTGTTGAACCTTTTGTCTTTAAACACACTTAACCAGAGGCAAAGTCAAGACAACAGTGTTTGGAAGTGACCAAGTGAACAGGAGAGACACCTGACTTTATGGAGTTCTTTTTTTAAAATATTTTTATTATTTTTTCCAAGTACATATATATATATATTTATATATATATAAATTTTAATTTTTTTAGAATTTTTTAATATACTTTTTTAGATTTTTTTTTTTACTTTTAAATACTTTTTTTAGATTTTTTCAGACTTTTTTTATTTTTTTAAGAACTTATTGAAGATTTTTTTTCATGTTTTTTTTTTTTTAGATTTTTAAAAGATTTTTTCAGGGTTTTTAAAGTTTTTTTTAAATAATTTTTTTTACCTTTTTCAGATTTTTTTTTTTTTTTTAGATTTTTTACATATTTTTTGAGATTTTTTTCAGGTTTTTTTTTTTTTTAAAGTTTTTTTTTTAGATGTTTTAGATTTTTTTTTTTGCAAAGTCTCGTTGAAACGCAGTTCGGAGAACCAGCAACAGTCGACGCAGAGACAGAACAGTAACAGAGTCGAGTTCAGAACACTTCTGGTTTGAATTCACAGTCAGAGAGAGAGAAAAAGAGAGGGAAAAAGAGACAGAGGGAGCCACCGAGGCGTCAAAAACGAGAGGGAAGAGAAGCACAAGGCTGGGGCTGGAGTGACACTCGGGTGGTGCGGGATGTGTCCCGCAGGAGCTGCTGTGGTGGGACATGGCCAGCAGAGCTCCTGTTATTGCTGGTGAGGTCGGACACCCCCGGGGCAGCTTTGGGGGGACAGCTCTGCATCTGCTGGGGAACTGCGCTCAGCCACGTCTAAAATGGGGTTTGGGGAGAGGGAAAACCTCCCTGGGGTGGTGCCCGGAGCAGCTCCTCTGGGCTCACAGCGATTTCCAGGTCCTGGAGAGTGCAAACGAAGACACCTTGGAGGAGCCCTGGGCTGGGCTCTGCCTGGGAAGGGACTGCATAGACACATCAGCCGGGGGTGCAGCATTGGGTGGTGCTGGGATGCTCCTGCCAGCCCCTGTTCTGCTCCTTTCAGCCATGGGGTGAAGGGATCTTGTCCTCCCAGGCTCTCAGGAATGGCCACAGTGTCCCACTGGTTGTCACTGAAGGTGGCTCCGTGAGCTCAGACACCCCAGTGGCTCCCACGTGGAGAAGACCTCCTGCCCAGTGACAGGATGGGTCACACCTGCTGGATGTGGGAAGCTTTGGGCAACCCGGGCCACCAAGTGGTTGTTCAGAGCCAGACTGGACCTTGCATCCCTTTCCAGAGGAGCTGAGGCCAGGGCTGGAGCTCTGAAGGAATGTTGGCTTGTCTGCAGGTGTCAGAGTTGGGAAGAGTCCCTTTGAAATCTCCCTGGAAAATCCTATTGCTTTGGGACAGAGAGCAGAGACTTCCTGCCAGAAAAAACAGATTTGTGAAAGAGCTGTGGGGACACAGCCTGGTCCAGGCCCCAGAGCTGACACAATTCCCATCACTGGGAGAACCAGGGAGGAGGATTACCCTGAAAATACAGGAACATCCTCTTGGGAAGCCAACATCTGCAAACAGCTGGATGAGATCCCACCCCCTTAGTACACTGCAGGGTCCTGTGTGCCCCTAAGGACCTCAGAGACCCCTCAGACCCCTGTTTTTTCCAGAAGGTGGAAGGACCAGGGAGCTCCAGAGCTGGTGGCGAAGTTGTGAATCCCCGTGCAATGATCCCACAGGATTGCAGGCCATGGGAATGTCCTTCAGCAGGAAGCCAGATTGTCCTTGGAGGCAAAGCAGGGCTGATGGATCCATCCCCAAAATCCCTGGGGATGTCAGAGAGGAGAGGATCAGTGTTCTGGAAAGCTCCTGAGAGTAGGGTTGGGATCACCCATTCCCAGTGGGGGCTGTAACTCCAGCTTGTCCAGATGTACCTGGGAGAGCACTGGGAGAGGCCCTGACTGCTCCAGTGGGATGGGGATGATCTGAAAAGAGGCAGGAGAGCCTGGAGAGCTGGGGCAAAGGAGCAGCAGGCAACACATGGACAGATCTTTAGCAAGGGGTCTTGGTGAAGAGTAAATATAAAGGGGTTTCAAGGCTTAAACTGAATGTTTGGGTTAAATTAATTGGGTCCTCTTCCATCCCAGGGATGGAGTGGAGAAGGCTGAGAATGGCTGGGGAGCAGAGGCACAGTTGAGAGGCATCTGCCCAAGGCCCAGACCCACCTGAACACCCACCTGCAGGAGCACAGATCTCCCATAAATCCTCCTGCCAGGTCCAGGAGCCTTCCTGGAGCAAAGGTGGGTGGAGATGCCTTCAACACCCCAAGCAGGAGAAGTGAAGAAGACGCTGCCTTCACCTGGGAGTTTGGTTCCTTGGTAAGGAGGGTGATGAGGATGCCCTGGGGTGAGCTGTGGAAAGGACACCAAGGGGGCAGCCAGCAGGACCACCAGCTCTCAGGATGCTCATTTTCCTGGACATTCCCACTGAGCCAGAACATTTGCCTGGACCCTGTAGTGGTGTCTGCTGCTGACCTATTGCTCTGAGGATGAGAGGCATGAAGTTGCCTGAAGACAAGAAGATGCATGACTTGGTGTGCATCCTCTCTTCTCCTCAAGAAGAAAGGGAATGGCATCCATCCCAACTCCTAGGGACAGCCCCTGGTCCATATTCTCCATGGGAAAGGTGTGGAGCTAACTGGGATGGCTGTGGAGGATACTGGTGTCACCAACTAGGGACAATCACCTCACCCAGGAACTCCCTTCTATCCTGTCCTATCTTGCACAGGAAAGGCCTTCATGGACCTGCAGACATTCCCAGGTGGGACACGGGGAAATCATGTCCCCTGGCAGCTCTCATTCCCCTTTTCCAGCCCCCACCAGCCTCCGGTCTCTGCAGGAAAACCGGGACACAGCTCCAGGCATGGAGCCCAGCGCTCTCCAGAGATCTTTGGTCACGTTGTCGTGAGCTCGCTGCCTTGAGCTCGCTGTAAAGTGCCACTGCAAGGGGCAGGAGGGGAGCAGGATGGTCCTTGCCATGGTGGGCAGAGCTCAGGGGGACACTCTGGGAACCACTGTCTGCCTGGAGTCTGCCTGTGACACCTGACAGGCACCCTTAACCAGGGGGTCGCTGCAAACCTGGCTGAGGGTGACAGCAAGCATCAAAGCAGGACAGAGGGACACCAGGCTGAGCTAATCCCAAGTGGATTGCTCTCCTGGGAGGTGCTGGAGCCCATTCCCAATGCAGCCAGGCCCAGGTCGGGGTGCTGAGCACCCTGTGTGCAGCGCTCAGCCCCGTTCGCCAACAGAGAAGCCACAGAGCCTTCTTGTCTCCTTTTAATCATCAACACACAGAGCTGGGCTCTTATTTACATCCAAATACACTTCTCTCTGTACAACAGTGTTAGAGCAACAATTCCATTCCTCCCTGGAGCGTGGAAACCTGGAGGTGAGTGACCACCACCAGTGACAGCAGGACTGGGCCACCAGCTGCCAGCAGACAGTGGCAGGAGCTCAGTGGGGCTGTGTGGGGCACAACAACGTGCCCTGGTTGTGCTGATCACCCTGGGGGTGAGAGGGGAGTGCTGGAATCAGCCCAGCTGGGTTGCTGGGACAGTGGTAGCAGCCAGCCTTGGAATGGTGGTGGAGCAAAGCAGCCCTGCCCACTGCAGAGTGAGACCTTCCCTGGCACCAGGACAGCCTGCTCAGCCCACGTCCTCATGGGTGGAAGCCTCTGGAGCTGATCATTGTCCTCTGTTGGCCGTGTGGATGTGCCTGGAGCATGACTGGGCTCTGTACATGGGGGGACCATGACAGAGCTGCTCCAGGACTGCCACCACTCTCCCAAAAATCTTGGATCATGCATTTGTTGGGTATCCCAGATATCCCAGATACCCTTGTGGACCTCATGTGTGGGCAACTGAGCTGAGACCCTCACGGCCACAGCTTGTGGTGGTGGCTAGTGCAGGTTAGAGAGGATTTTGGGAGCAGCACTTGGAGAATGACATGAGAGCCAGGATGTCACACTGAATTCCACCAGCTCCAAGGTGCAGGACACAGCTGGGGGATGGTCAAGCCCAAGCTCTGGGTGGAATTCCATGGGACAGAAACAATTCATCAGCCCTGCCTGAGCCTCCAAGAGACACACTGCCAGCCTCCTTGGCCATTCCCAGGATATGTCACCCTAACAGCAGCCTGGCACCCCTTGGCTGTCCTAACCCAGGGCTAAGACCCCAGAGCCTCAATGAAGCTTTAGATGGGAGATTTCATCAACTTGTGAAAGTGTAAAAGATCTGGAAGGAGCCAGGTGAGCTCCACCTGGGCACAAACAAGAGGAATCCAGGTGTCTCACCATCGTTTTGCTCCATCTCTGCTGAGCAGAGGGCTGGCACAGGGGAGAGGACTTGAGGGGAGCAGCACATCTAGTTGTGGGGAGGAATCCTGAAGCACAGGAATCCTTTGTGGCAGTTTGGCTCCCAAAACCATCTGTGTTTTCTGTCACCATAGCAGGGGTGGGGTGGTTTCTGCAGGACAGCTGTGGGATCCTGGGAGAATCCCAAGAGAGGGAAAACCATCAGCAGAGTGTCTTAGTGGGTATCTGCAAGGCTTTGTTGTCCAGGGAATGTCCACAGTCGAGGTCTCAGATCTGGATTGAAGCTCTGGATCGATGTGATGCCATGAGGAAGGTGGAGGGAGGGGGCCTTTCCTCCTCCAAGGTGAACAATCTTCACAAGAGCAGCTACCAAACACCTGCTTTGGGAGGTGAGCCACCAGATCTCCAACCCTGCCACTGTGGGATGTTTGATTGTGCCTGGAAGGCCTGGAGTATGAAATGGAGGAAGCTCTAGGATGTGCCTGGCCAGGTGCCTGTGGATTTTGCCCTACCATGGCCAAATCTGCAGCTGTGTGGCACTGGCAGGCAGCTGCGCTCCTTCCTTGCTGGGCTGATGTCCAAGAGTGCTGGAGATCTTCAGGATTTGCAGGACTCTTCCCCACAGCCATCAGTGGTCAGACCTGACCTAACCTCCCTTTTATGGCTGGTCCAGGGAAAGGGGCTTAGCCTGAGCTGCCCTGGTGTTTTCCATGAGTTGTTTTCCTCCAGCTGCAAAGACATGGGCAGAAGTGGTGAGAAAAGAGAGGAGCTGTCAACTGGGGTCTTGAAATGCCCTGGTCTTGGCACTTTTCTATTTTCAATGGCTCCAGGGGTCTCTGGCAGCCACCACCAGCTCCTGGCCAGTGGCAGTGTCCCATGACTTGGGCTGGTGGGACTAGCTGCATTCTCCACTCTGCTCAGGCTGGAGCTCGTCACAGCAATGTTTTTTCTCAAACCGAAGGTGACACCTGGTTGTGAACAGGAGAGCTCTGGGGAGATAGAACATAGAAAATGTGCAGCTCCAGGGCATTTGTTTGGAAGGTCTTCAGCCCCTCAATGCCTCCAGGTTCTTCCTTGGTGTGCACATGAAATTTAATCTGGCCAAATTCACCCTGGTGTCACCACAGAAACATTTCCAGACATCCCAGTGCTAATCCCAACTTTTCTCTTCTAGCTGCTCCCCAGGGCAAAGAGCCAAAATCCCCACTCCTATTGATCCTTTGGCCAGTGCAAACTCCACTTTGCAACATTTTTCTTCTCTTTATTGTGACTTGTGGTAAAAAATTGTCCATGACAGAAGAACTGAGCTCACCCTGCCCACCTTTTCAAGCAGAATGCCAGGTTTTGCTGCCTCAGTGACTGTGCACGTAGGATTTGGTTTATCATTCTGCCAGGGCATAAGCACTTGCGTGATCTTAAGCATTTTCCCCCTCTTATGACTTCTTTCATGCTCAGAGTTAGTAGCTGAGTATTTTCTTGAGCTAGGCCTGCGAGTTGTTCTCTCCATCCCTGGGGTGTGGGATGGCTGTGGGTGCTGTTTGGAACGGCAGAACTGAAGGCTGACTGCTGCAATCCAGCTGTGATGCTGCTGTGCCCCCCCTGCAACTCCTGAGTGAGGCTCGAGTGCTGTTTTTAAGCAGACCCTGGCCCAAGAGAGTGCACCAAGGTGTCACTCGTTTGGGGACAGGGTGGCACAATTGCCCGCTTCTGGGGCAGATTGCTAAAGCTTCAGTTTGCATAAACATCCCATGGGTTTGGAGGCTTCTCCAAACCTCGATTCTATTGACTTTGGGAAGTAAGGGGGCTGTTGGGAAGGGAAGTTAGCTTTTCTCTTGCTGTAGCCAGCTTGGGTATAGAGTAAGGGGGTCAAGGCAGAGGTGGGAGGGTGTTTCTGCTCCCAGGGTTGGTCACAACCTGGGAGAGGAGTGGAACTGCAGGAGGAAACCACAAGGAAGTGAAAACGCAGCATGTGTTAAGCTCTGCTGAGCCTCCAGAGAGGCTCCTGCTGGGACATCATTCCTTGTTGGCTTCTGTTAGCAGGACAGGCTCATCCTGCTCCTCAAGGATGTCCTAACCTCTTGCAGCCAGGGCAAGAGGGAGTCGTCTGGTAGAGATATGTCTGGTTTCACTGAAATCAGTGGCCAAGCTTGCACTGACTTCACTAAGACCACCGTCTAGACAGGATACTTGATGCAGAACACTTGAGTTTGCTCATGATCCCAAGAGCTTTGCTCCATTAGCCAATGTGGCTAAAAACGTCCTGGAAAAAAAAAACCAAAACCCAAAAAACAACAAACCTGCCGCTTTGAACTGTTTTGCTGCACATAAATGCTTGGAAAACCAAAGAAACCGAATACAACCCTCCAAAACAACCAACCAAAGAAGGGTGAATTGTAGGAGAGGGGGTGGCAGCCTCTAGTGAAATAACAGTCAGGGCAGATTACAAAAGAGCCAATTGACCCTCACCAGCTGTACTAGGAAAAAACCCCAGCCGAGATGTGGCATTGTCGATAGAAAACCAACGCACATCCACAGTTATTGTACCTACGGAGCACAGAAGTGGAGAGTGAGGGTGATGGAGCCTGGTGGGAGCACGCTCACACCGCTCCCATGGGAGCGCATTATCCTTCGGAAGATCTCTGGCTTGAGTAGGTAGTACATGCACAGCAATAAAAAATTCTGTCGCGTCACCTCGGCCCCCCCTCAGATCTCGGTGGACTCTATCCTCTCGAGCCTGGAGGGAGTCCATGTCTTCTTCTCCTCGGTGTGCGGGGGGCTGGTGGCCTTGGTGTTCATCTCGTTGACCTTGTGCTCCAGGAGCTGGTTCTTCTGGTACATCTCCACATAGTTGAGCTGCAGCTGCTTCTGGTACTTGATGACCTTCTCCTTCTCCTCCTGCCACGTGCGCCGCTCCTCCTCGAAGTCCATCACCTGCTGCTCCCTCTGCTGCCGCTCCAGCTTCAGCTCCGTCTGCAGCCTCTCCACCTCCCTCCTCAGGCTGTTCACGCTGTCCTCGCTCTGCCGCTGCATCTTGGCCTCGTCGCTCTCGCAGGCCAGCGGGTCCCCCCGCAGCTTGTCCCCGAGGTCCCCACCAAAAGACCCCGTGGGCCCTATGCTGGCAAGTGTCCGCTTCAGGCCCGAGACCTCCAGCTCACAGTGGTTCAGTTTTTCCCTCAGCACCTGGACCTCGCTCATCTTCCTCTGCAGCTCGCCCTCGCAGATCTCCAGGTTGACGCTCTTGGAGCTGTAGGAGTCCTTCAGGGTGAGGATCTGCTCCTCTTTCTCCCGCAGGAAGTTCTTGCCTTCCTTGAGCTGCGACCGCAGGCCCACAATCTCGTTGAGCTTCTGGGAGACATCGGCTTGGGAGTCCTTCAGCTGCTGCTTGAGCAGGGAGATCTCACCTGCCTTCTGGCACACCTGTGGGGAGAGCACTTGTGAGGCTGGTGGGTGGCAGTGAGGAGCTGCTTGTCCCCTGAACTGCCCATTAAATGACCCTGCCCAAGGACCCAGCCCTCACCATGCCACAGACCCTGCTCAAGGACCCAGCCCTCACCATGCCACAGACCCTGCCCAAAGACCCAGCCCTCACCATGCCACAGACCTAGATGTTGTCCCCACCTCTGTGTTTTTTCCCTCAGGGATCTGATGCTGTTCCCAGCTGGAGCTGCCCAAACAGCCAAGCCCTGTGATGTGGTCCCCACCAGCGATGCTTCGCTCCTGCCTTCATCTTCCTCTCCTACCCACAAACCCACAGGGCTCGATCCCAAACCTTCTGCTGAACATCTGCGAATGGCACATTTCAGAGCCTAATTAATCCCAGCTTCGTTGACTTTCCATCAGGATTAGCAGAATAAGGTCGTCTGGATTCTAGAGCTATGTTTTGCCTCTGCACTCTTAATAAATTTAAAGTTTCTAGCCTCTGCATGGAAGGATTAAAATTCTTCACATGATCAAGCTGAAAAAACGGTATGTTAGCACTGGCTATACAAACAGACCTTGATAAAATGTTCTAAAAATAGGAACAGTAGGAAAAAGTTATGTAGGACTCAACAGGAGAACTAGAAAGAGGAATGTGTCTTTCAGCCTTTTGAGAGAGATCAACTTATTAACAACCAAAAAAAGTGTGTTACAATGGAAAACATGAGGTAAACATGGCTCTATCGATGTAATTCTTAGCTCAGTTCCTTTTATATCTTCAATTTAAAAGAAAGCAAATATCTGAAAACCAGTTTCAAGATTTGCCCAAATGCAAATGGTAAAAGAATTTAATTAAAATAGACTTAAGCCCATTTTTGGCAGGCACAAGTACCTGTGTGGAAAGACCTGTATTCTGTGAAACTGGATTTGAATGTCATGACTTGGGGTGACCAGACTGTGAAGTCAAATTATTAACCAGCACAGGAGGGTGTGCACAAAAAAGTTGTGCTTATTTAAGCTTAATTGAAATCAGCAGGCCTGGGGCTCAGACAAGTGAGGTGACAAGTGTCACCTGTTACCTGAAGGTCACCAACCCATGGCTGTTTTCTGTGGGCATGTGGGAGGAACTTTGGGTCACCAGATCCCACAACGGAAACCTCATTCACGGCCTGTTACAACAACGCTCTTACCTCCCACTTGGTCTCTTCAATCTTCGGGAGAAACTCAGCCTGCTCCTTCTTGAAAGCCACAAATTTCTTCTCCAGCTCCTCTCGCTGCTGGAGGAGTTGTCCCATGTCATCCTGGAGTTTTTTTTTCTCCTGCTGGAGCTTGAAGATTTGGAGCTGCAGAGCCTGCTGAGCCCGCTGCGCCTTTTTGGAGACCTGCTGCAACTTGTTGGCATAGTTCTGCCTCAGATCCTCCATTTCCCTCTCCCAGATCTTCTGCTTCTCCTCGAACACCTGGAAGATGGCCGCCTCGCTCTTGTCCAGGTTCCTCCTCATCTGCAGCACCTCCTGCTCCTTCTCCCACAGCCTGTCCTCCAGGTCCTGGATGATGTCGTCGGTCGAGGGCGAGTGGAAGGGCATGGTCTCGTTGAGATGGTTCAGCCTACTGAAGGACGAGGTGCTCTTGCTCGAGGACCGCCCGCTGTCTGAGGTAGATATCCCGTTGTAGCCCACGATGTTCTTCTCCACGTAGGTGGTCCCGATGCGGTTGATGTGGCTGGTGGAGGCGCTCATGGGGCCCACGTGCTGGCTGTAGCCCGTGCCGTAGGTGGGCAGGCTGGTCAGGGAGTTACGGCCCGAATCCGAGAGCCCCCCGCCCTGGTTTGTAGTCCTGTTAAGGCTGCTCTTGTCGAGCCCGCCCTTGGGCGCGGACGGGCTATTGCTGTTGCCGTGGTTCAAGCTCTTTCTGTTCTCTGCCATCCCGTTGCTCTGCGGCGGGCAGAGGTTCTGCATGGAATGGAAGTTTTTAGGAACTACTGGTTTAAAGGCTGAGGGTCTAACTAAGGGCTCATTGCTCTGCAAAAAGGAAAAAGGAGCAGGCATCAAACACAGCAGGAGACTCGGTAGCAACACATAAAAGAGACACATTGGTGAAGGGTGGGGGTTATGCAGCTTGGGCTGGCTCCTTATCCCACCTTGTTGCACATTTGGGGTTGCACATGAGGGACCTGTGGTCACTCAAAGGGCAACGCTGCCTTCCCTTCCTCTAGCTGAAAGGAAACAATCTTTTCACCCCAAACCTGCGTGACTCACCCCAAACCTGCATGATTTTACTCTAGAATACTTCTTAGGTTCTCTTAGTGCTTGCTCACAAGGAGGGCTGCCCCTTGCTTACCAGACCTGACCAAAAATAACTCTAATTTCTGCTGTTTATATTTCTAGCCTTGAGGTTGCATTGCCCTTTTGCTGAAAGCTGAATTGAACCCTTGGATTAGCAGCCCTCAGGAGAATCACATCTCCCTCCTGCCAGCAGTGACCTGTGCCTCTGGGGACCTCATGTCCTGCTTGTCCTCAGACAGGAGCAGGTAGGAGCTCTGACAGCAGTGACACCAGGCAAGGAACATGCTGGAACTGCTCTTCATTTGAAATTTGTGTTTTCTGTGGCATAAGCAATGCTGGGGGACAATAGACCACAGCTGTAAGGGATTTAGAAAGGATTTTAAACCTTGCACATTCCTCACCCCATCAATGCACCATTAGAAACAAAATTTTCCTCAAAATGGAATTGAGTCTCCCCTACTGCAGATTGGATTTTAGGTGAAAATTAAACTGGAGGAAGCAAAGGTATTTTGAAAATGCCTTTTAGGAGAAACAGAAAAAGCCCCACTGAACAGATTGGAGGTTGGAGACCAAGTGTGAGACTGAGATGGACTGCAGGGGCTGTTGGATTAACAACCCAGGAGAAAAGGCCACCAAATGCTGCAGAAATAATACTGGACACAAATTATGGAAGTCGCTGGAGCAGAGCAGCAGGCTACATAAAGCACTGCTGGGGCTCTGTTCCTCCAGGCCTGGGAGATTTTTCTCCCTGAAGCCAATATGAGCCATGAGGATGGGCTGGGCTGGGAGATAACATTTATGGGGGTAGTTCCTAAGCTTTTTTTTCACAAGGGGCACTGGGATTGGGAACAGATGCTCGTGGCTGCTTTCAAACAACAGCTTTAGGTGTCAGTGCATGGTTGGAAACTGCCTATAAAAGGCACAAAACACACAAAACCTGAGTAGGACTCAGATGCTGGACCTACAAACAGGGGCCAACTCCAGCTCCCTCCTCATCCTTCAGGGAGGTGAACATATCTCAGGGAAGATGGAACAGCCAGTGACTTAAATGAGCTGTGTGTGGAAGATTTGTGGTCGTGTTCTTGGGTTCCTCAAGTACTAACAACACCCCTGAAAGTTGTAAGAATTATATAATCTCTACATTAAAATCTACAAAACAAAAATGAGACCATCAAGACTGCGCTGTCGTGCAAGGCCTCCTGGCCTGTGCTTCCAGAGAAGTGCCATGGCCACCCAGCTGCTCCAGGAGGTCCTCACCTGGTCCAGTTTGCCGGAAATCGGCAAAATCTTTGGTGGGTTACCGGGCTCTCGGTACTGGGGCGGCGGCGGCGGCAGGTTCTTCTCGTTGTTGGCGGTCACGTTCCCGCAGATGTCCACCTTCAGCTTCTCGCTCTTGCGCGCCTCGCCGTTGATGTAGAGTGAGTTGGAGACTTTCTCCGACTTGTAGGTCTTCTCCTCGCCCGAGTAGCGGTGGGGGATGTCCCGGCCGGAGTAGCCGTTGCGCGGCCCCTCGGCGGGCCGGCCGCCGCTCTGCGTGCGCGTGCCCACGCTCTTCATGGCGAACTCCTGGTCGTTGGCCACGCCGCTGCCCACGCTCCCCATGGCGCTCCGGGGGATGGTCTGGGAGTAGCGCGGGGCGAAGCCGTGGAAGCTCTGCGCGCTGGGGTAGGCCGGGTCACTGAGGACGGGCAGCGTCTCTAGCGTGGCCATGGCAGCGTCGGGGTGAGGTGGAGGCGCAGCTCAGTGGCACTGGGACAAAGAGGGGGGAAAAAAGGGTTGTTAGAGAGGTGATTTTTGTCTGACGTGCCCTTTTGCAGATCGAAATTACATCCTGGTGATTGTCACTGTTTTCTGAAAAAAAACGCTGTGCCCTTTCAAACTAAATCCTGTTGATTGTCACTGTCATATTTTCTGAAAAATCTCTTTGCCCAGGATTTTCTCCTGGGAAGCTGAGAAGCCTCAGAGGAAAAGGAGAAACAATATTATCTCATTTTTCTCTCCTGTGTTTTTCTCCTTTGGAATGTGGTTGGAGATTGTTTATCCAACATGTGAATTGTTTTTACTTAATGACTGATCACAGCCGGCTGTGTCGGGACTCTGGAAGCTGTCACGAGTTTTTAATTAGTATCTTGTTAAGCCTTCTGTAAGTTCCTTTCTCTATTCATTAATATAATATAATATAATATAATATAATATAATATAATATAATATAATATAAATTAGCCTTCCAAGAACATGGAGTCAGAGTCTCAATTCATCCTGGGGATCCAGCAAATACTACAGTTGATGGGGTTCTCCTCTTCTGTGGGAGTCCCAGATCCCTTGGAGGAGCAGCATTCCCCAAACCCCACCCACTGTTATTTTACCCAAATCTTCTCAATCCAAGGGTTGTGGTTCCCAGGGGAGGGAGTTGCGTGGATTTTAGTAGGCACAGCTCTATGGCACTGGTGAGACACAACCATTTGCTGTGCCCAAGCTGGAATTATTTTTGTCACTTTTCCTTTTTGTCACTTTTCCACATTTTGTCCTGTGGGAATGGAAGGTCTCCATCCCTGGTCCCGGTTCATACACGTGCTCCCTCCAGTACATCCCTTAGCGATGACACCACAGGGTTTAAGCAGCACAATTTCTATTTCTTTCTTGGGATTGTTGCTCACCTGAACCTGAGTTTTTAAAAAGATGCTTTTGTGCAGGTGTCATCTTAAATTTTCTTTTAAATCTTTATTTCCCCTTCTCCATTTGATTCCTACTTAGGCTGTGCCTTGGCTTGGCCAAAACTAGGCCATGGGACAGGGATAACATGCAAATAATGGTTTCAAAAGTTATCTTTCATTAGGGTTGTCCTGATAACTGTCCCAAGTTATCCTTGGGACCAATTCTCAGCTGTCTAGATGCTCTTTATCATCTTTTACACAAAGGTGTAAAATCTTATTTAAGGAAATAAAAGACCCACAACAACCTTTTTTTTTTGTTGTTGCCTCATTGAATAATGGAGAATTTGAACCTGTACCAGCCAAGGATCTCATTCCCTGAGGGAAGGGAGAAGGTGCATTGCAAATTTTGAGTGATTGAACCAAACCTGGAGGAGCAAGGCCAGTGGCTTGTGGACAGCTGTGGCCACTCAGCTGACCATTGCCCACCTGCCCTACTGAGTTCATTGACTCAGTCCCCATGGGCCAGAATTGATGCTTTTCTTTTGTCTCAGGCACCCTCAGTTCCAGGATTTCAAGGATAATCCATTCTGACAGCCTGGAGACTAAAGCAGGACTTAAGGGCAGCAGAAGCTGCAGGTTTCCCTGTGGAAGGGATAAAAATAGTGATGCCCTTTGGAGAAAGGCTCAGGGGTGGCAGCAGTCAGGCAGGAGACCAGCAGGAAGGGGAGATGGAGAAAATCCCCATTTCAGCGGGGTTCTCCCTCTCCTTGGGGTAGTGATGCTCATTCAGCCCTCCCTGAGTAAAGCAGAGCTGGGTTTATTTCCCTGGAGAGCAAGCTGAGGTCTGGAGCTCAGCTCCCACGTGGCGTCTCACAGGGCCTTGCTATTTGCACTAATAATGGAATGGAAAAAGAATTAAAAAGGTTAAAGCACAGGGGCTGTGCTGCTCAACTTTGCTTTTATTAAACTGCATTTCTGGAAGCTTCTCCTCCCCCTTTCCCAGCACCCTGCCCTGTCCAAAGTACAGCCTGAATGGCAGATGTGGCAACTGCTGTGCCAGAGGGAGAGGACACAGAGCTGTTGAGATGGGATTTAAGGTCCCTTCCACCCCAACCCAGCCCATTCTGGGATTTTATGATCATTTGTAATCCCATTTCTGGGATTTTATGATCAAAAAGCATTAAGTGAGCACTTTGTGTTCCTTGCTGAGGACACCTTGCATTTTGCACCTCTGTCCCCAGCTGATGATCTCATGTCATTTCCCGATTAAAGTCTAAAGACCAGGCAGTAAAAGAGGATCATATGAGCACATGGAGGGATCCCCCACAGCCAAAACACGAGTGTTTATTGGTCATAAGTGACAAAACCCCTGCCAGCAGCAAGGAGTGGCAGGGTCAGGTCACGTATGGGGCATGTGGCGTTTGGACACGTGCTCTGAGCAGCACTCAAAGGTTCATGACCCTGTCACACTCTAAAAACTTAGAACATCATCACTGATGGTTCATGAGTGCACCATGCCCAGGGGTCAATCCAGGTGCTTGCTGAGCACCTGGAGACTTGGCTGGGCTGTGGAGTGATGAGGAAGGATGGAGAACACTCACCTGAAGCCACACTCAACCAGCCGTGCCTTTGGATTTTATGAGTCAAGGGAAGACTTTTTGTCCTCCTACTTTGACCTGGCAGTGAAGGAGGATCACATGAGCATGTGGGGGGATCCCCCACAGCCAAAACACGAGTGTTTATTGGTCATAAGTGACAAAACCCCTGCCAGCAGCAAGGAGTGGCAGGGTCTGGTCACGTATGAGGCATGTGATATTTGGACACGTGCTCTGAGCAGCACTCAAAGGCTCCTGAGCCTGTCGCACCCTAAAGACACTGCCCAAAGAACATCAGCATAATTTATTATTATAGGATATGATATTACACTAAAACTATACTAAAGAATATAGAAATGATCTTACAGAAGGCTTAACAAGATACTAATTAAAAACTCGTGAACTGCTTCCAGATTCCCAACACAGCCGGCTGTGATTGGTCATTAAGTAAAAACAATTCATATGTTGGACAAACAATCTCCAACCACATTCCAAAGCACCAAAACACAGGAGAGAAAAATGAGCACCTGGAGACTTGGCTGGGCTGTGGGGTGATGAGGAAGGATGGAGAACACCCACCTGCAGCCACGCTCAGCCAACGGTGCCTTTGGATTTTATGAGTCAAAGGAAGACTTTTTGTCCTCCTAATTTAGGAACAACCTGCTTTTTGGTGACTTTGGGAATCTTTATAGGCTGTGATTTCTTTTTATGGGACACCAGGCACCACGGGAGGGATGTGCTGGGAGGTCTCAGCTCCAGACAAGGATGTGGCATTGTCTCCTTGCAGTGCTCCCCAGCCAGCCAGGGAGAAATCCAGGTTACTTTTCCCTCACTGGGTAAATTTCACGGTGACATTTGCACATTTACATTGACTCTCTGAGGGCAGGGATGAGGTCACTGGAAAGTTTGATCCTTCCAAAAGGAAAAAAAAAAAAAAAAAAAAAAAAAAAAGGCCAACACAACAAGAAGCATTTTCTTTTAACTGGGAATCATCCAAGAAAATATTCTGAAAAAAACCCCCTTGTTCTCAGCTTGTGTTTACTGCAAACCCGGGATCTGGTAAACAGAGCATACAGACAAGTGTTACAAATATGTTATTAAGGAGATTCCAGAAGTGCCAAGAGCTCCCTGACAGTACAGCTTTGTTTGCCAAAAAGGGCCATTTTTTCCTGAGAACAACAACCCCTGGGTTTGTATCTTCTGGCCAGCTCCAGTTCCCAGTCTGGTTTTACATTGGTTGTTCCTCAGCTGAATTGTGAAATCAAATTTTGAGCACAGGAATAACGTTGCCACGCTCCAGCACAGAGCAGGAGAGTAATATTTTTTCTCCTTCCAGGTTTGGGGGAATGTGTGACTAAAAACTTTCCCAGGACATTTCTTCTCCTTAAATCTCATAATCTCTGGGGCAAGAGGACAAGAGGGAATGGCTTCAGATTGACAGGGGAGGGTTATGTGGGATATTGGGAAGAAATTCTTGACTGAGGGTGGGCAGGCCCTGGCACAGGGTGCCCAGAGCAGCTGTGGCTGTCCCTGGATCCCTGGAAGTGTTTGATGCCAGGTTGGATGGGGCCTGGAGCAACCTGGGATAGTGGAAGATGCCCCTGCTCATGGGAAGAGATTGGAACTGGATAATTTTTAAGGTCCCTTCCAACCCAAACTATTCCATGATTCCATGAGAACTGCCTCCCTCCCATGGGAGCATGATCTGAAAGTTCATGTTTGAACTTTTCACAAGCTTTGTTTGTGATTCCCAAGGATGCTGAGCCTGTCCATGAGCACAGGGAGCCTGAGGGAAGCAAAGTGTTTGCCTTTACCTGTGACGGTGTTCACAGGGGTCTTAGGATGAGGGAAGAAACGAGGATCTGACTCCGTGTTTCAGAAGGCTGATTTATTATTTTATGATATATATTATATTAAAATTATACTAAAAGAATAAAAGAAAGGATTTCATCAGAAGGCTAGCTAAGAATAGAAAAAGAAGGAATGATAACAAAGGCTTGTGACTCAGATTCTCTGTCTAAGCTAGCTCACTGTGATTGGCCATTAATTAAAAACAACCACATGAGACCAACCACAGATACACCTGTTGTATTCCACAGCAGCAGATAATCATTGTTTACATTTTATTTGTGAAGCTTCTCAGCTTCTCAAAAAGAAAAATCCTAAAAAAAAGATTTTTCATAAAAGATGTCTGTGACATTTACCAACAATTCATTCCCAAGTCCATCCTTTAGGAGGAAAGCAGAGTCACCCTCGAGCATGGCTCAGACCTTCTCTGAGCAGGGACACTGGGAATCCACACACTCCACATTGCACCACCTCCCCATCCCATCCATCCACTTCCTCTTGGCCTTTCCTGCAGTAGCCTTGCCTCAGAGGCAGCAATATTCTGATGCCTGATGCAGAAAATCTGGAGTGAAATGTCCTTTTCCCCAGCTATGCCAGGCAAACTTTGCATGCCCACCTCTTACCAAGGTTTCCAGCCCTGCCTGCAGCTCCA